AGCGTATATTGGCCTCGACCATCCCTTGGACCAATACGAGCCAACGACTCAACATAATTATTTCAGAGTGCTGTTGGTTCTTAAGGAGAAATCCTTAAATCAGGCACGCGACAGGAGCGACATGTGACATCTGTGAAAAGGGGGGGGGGGCTTTAAATGTGCAGTAGCCCTCCCCAAGCTTACAGCACCCTTGTTCACGTGCTGTAACTGGGATAACCTTAGTTGTGTTTGGGTATTTCTTGTTTCCTGGGTATGAGATGTTCTCTCCCTGCCCCTCCGCGCCCCCCCCCCCACGAGTACACCATGACATAAATGTCCACGTGCGTTCTATGCCAGTGGAAACACTCACGAAGAGGGCACGCGAACTGAACTCTGTACCTTTGTACAGCGGTTCTTAAACTGTATGCCGCGAACGTATGCCAGGGGTGCCACTCATCAGTTCTCGTTATGCCTAGTGGCACATAAGGCTTCAGGGAGGACTTTCCATGCTTTCCTGTCCTGTGCAATCTTCAGTGCAGTTTGCCATGTCAAAGATGCCGTACTCAGGGTCACTTTCCATCGTTCGTCTTCATGATGTTTTTGGGCGCCCCTGTTTTCTCTTTCCCTCTGGTGTCCATGTGAGAGCTGTTTTGGCAGGTATATCAGGATTCATTCTCAAAACGTGGCCAAGCCATTTCCATCTTCTCATGGTTATCATACGGTCAACAGTTTCTTGATTTGTGACTTGAAGTAGTTTAGTGTTTGAGATTATATCTGGCCAGACAATTTTGATAATTCTACGTAGACATGTGTGGTGGAAGGTGGAAAGCTTGTTTTTGTCATTTTCCAGCATTCCGCTCCATAAAGAAGAACTGGCAAAATGATGCTCTAGTAGAGTCGGAGTTTCGTTCCTTTGCAGTAACTGTTGGATTTCCATATTTGCCTCATCCGTCCAAAAGCAGCTCTAGCTTTGTTCAGACGTGACTGCATGTCCTCTTCGGTCAGTCCCGGTAGGGACACCACACTGCCAAGATATGTGAAATGTTCTACATTTTCAAGAGTTTGGTTATTTATGGTCACTGGTTGTTGGTTTGGACTGCTTGTCATGATCTTAGTTTTCTTTGTATTTATTCTCAGCCCCACCATTTCTGCTGCGCTGTGTAGTTTGTTACTTTTTTCTTGTATATGTTCGTGTGATTGGAGTGCTATATCATCTGCAAAATCAAGGTCCTCAAGCATGGTGAATGGAGTCCATCGTATGCCTCTCAATGTCCTGTCTACTGTGTTATTTAGTATCCAATCAATCGCAAGGTTGAAGAAGAGCGATGACATAACACATCCCTGTCTTACACCTGTCTTTACTGGGAAAGATGTATTGTAATTTTTTATACTGCAGGAAAAGTCTTTATAGAAGAAAGCAATTATGTTGACTATTTTTTTCTGGAATTCCATAATGTCGTAAAATTTTTCAAAGACCGTCTCTATGGACGCTGTCAAAAGCTTTCTCAGTCCACAAAATTAATATATATACTTCTCTGCCATTCACTGCATTGTTCTAAAATGTTACGTTTGGCGAAGATGTGATCAGTTGTTCCTCTGCCACTTCTGAATCCTGCTTGTTCCACTCGTAGGTATTTATATACTCCTTTTTCAAGCCGCATTATGATGATTTTACAAAATATTTTGCTTGGTACTGAGAGTAGAGTAATTTCCCCCCAGTTATTGCAGTCTGTTAAGTCTCCTTTTTTGGGTGGACTATTGTTCCTTCGGTCCAGTCTTCAGACAACACTTCTTTTGCCCAAATATCCTTGAACAGTGTTTCTAGAATGCTAGCAGTTATTTTGGGATCTACTTTGAAAAGTTATGTTGTCAGTTCGACTTTGCCTGGTGCTTTGTTGTTCTTTAAAGTGTGGATAGTTTTAACAAGAATAAGAATTTTTCAAAATCTGCTTGAGATCAGCGAAGACAGCAGTTTAAAACAGAAATACCGCGAAGGAAGCCAAGAAGAGTTCTGGATGTAGGTTTATTCATAAAACAATGCTATTGCCGAGGCTGCAATGTATTCTCAACGTACGCTTACATTTAAAAAAAAAAAGATACAAGAACAACCTTCAAGTGATTTGAGTGTAGAGCTAACTAAGCTTCCTACAAACATAAAGGAAAAAATGAAAAAGTCATCCTGCTTCATTTATCGCATTAAAGACAACTGAACATTAAATTTGCACTGTTTTTTTTTTTTTTTATTTCTTTTTCTTTTCCTAAGTACCCAAACGCTTAAAGGGTAGGTGTGCCGCGAAATTTTTTTGCCCGACCAGGGTGCCGCTGCTAAAAGAAGTTTGAGAAACGCTGTATTGTTCAGTCGCTGAACTTGTGAAATTTTTATTTAAAAAAAAAATAATCATAGAATCTTGTGTGCGACGGAAGATACTTGCGTGCACAATCTGAAGACTTTTGCGTTTCGTATGAAGTTTAAATGTAGCTTAGTTTGTTATCTAAAGATTTTTGATTCGTGTGTTTGGAGCAGACTGACTGATCGAGACCCTTCAGTGGTTGTTAAATTATTAATATTTAATATGTTGTTAGTAATTAGTTGCACTTGTTATAATATAATCAGTACTACAAGCGGCCATTAGTTTGCTTCACGGTCCTGAAAATCCATGTTATAATTGTGGAAGACTTTTCTTAACGCGGATGGGTCTTGCCAGTCACACTTGCCGTGGGTGCAAATTACTGCAAATGTCCGAATCATAGTTGGTGCAGGGCTGCCAGTACCTGTTTGCACCCAAGATCTGGGTTTTAATTTAACGCTCACATAACTATAAAATGTGTACTTTTTATCATTCTTAGGTTTTAGTTCTTTGCTTATATATATATATACACACACACACACATTTTTAGGTCAGCTTTAGCTTAGGCATTGGCAGCCCTGTGTTGGTGTTGCCCCGGTTGAAGAGTCGTTTATGTCAAGTTTAAAAGTAGGCCACGTGTCGCCGGATTGAAAATTAACAGTTTGCAACGATAATTATAATTGCTATGTAGAAGACGTATAGAATATTCTACACAGGTGTAAGTTACAAACAAAAAATTTGATCCGTTGTATTAAAAAGCTGCGTTTACAAGAAATGCTGAGTTTCATTCACTACGCGCATTACCCCGATATGATATCTACGATTATTTTGACCGAGTGAACGCCCTCGTCTAATGATTGTAATTTATGTCGCAGGTCAACGCTTGCTGTATTGAACGGAATCACAGCTTGCCATTAACTTTTACTAGGACAGCTGTTAATCAAACCATGAGTTATTTCTAAATGATAAATGTAAGTTAAACAGGAATTTGTTTTCTGTCATTTATTACAGCAGTTCAGCAAGTGAGTGTTGTCAGCATAAAGTTATAGAGTGTTGAATGAATCTTGTGAGGATAAATATTTAGTACCTTCTTTCACACATAAAATGTTACATAATAATTAGTGTTGCTTTGAATAAAATAACACAGTATTAAAATGGAGAAAGCAGTCACTAAAATATGGATTCCAGGTTCCTGTGGCAGTGACTAAGCATATTCGTATATCATATTTACCTGTGAAGTGAGAAGCTACAATAATTAATATGTAATGGTGCAGTCAAATTGTGACTTCAGTCAAATTACGACGGCTGTACACATATAAAAATGAATACTGAAAACCAAAATATGATGTAAGAAGTAAAATTGGTCAGCATAATTTTGCACACATCAGGGCTCACCCACTTAATGCGGATGTTGTGTGTGTTGGACTAGCGCCATATCATCATATATGCCCAGTTTTTATAGAGGCAAAGTGCCGGGCATCTTAACTACTAATGGGCCTTCTGGGTGCTTGCCCAGGGGCCCACGTGTAGTGGGATCCAATGCTAATCTGTGTATGCCTGGTCCAATGCTAATCTGTGTATGCCAGATCCAATACTAATCTGTGTATGCCAGATCCAACCCAATACTAGTCTGTGTATGCCGGGTCCAATACTAATCTGTGTATGCCAGGTCCAATACTAATCTGTGTATGCCAGATCCAATACTAATCTGTGTATGCCAGGTCCAATGCTAATCTGTGTATGCCAGGTCCAATACTAATCTGTGTATGCCAGGTCCAATACTAATCTGTGTATGCCAGGTCCAATACTAATCTGTGTATGCCGGGTCCAATGCTAATCTGTGTATGCCAGGTCCAATGCTAATCTGTGTATGCCAGATCCAATGCTAATCTGTGTATGTCAAGTGACTTACATGTCATTCCTGTGAGTGGTTGTCAGAGAGGCCCTAGCAAACTCACACTCGTTTGCCCAGGGGCCCATGTCATAATGCTATTAAGACAGCTTTGTATAGAGATATGGACATGAGACTTAATTTTACTTATTTAATTTTAGTTGTACTGCTTTGAAAACACTTCTAACATAGAGAACCAAGTATTTTTAAAAACAAAAATATCCACTTGTTTACTAACCAACTGTAATGTTTGACCAGTGAGCAAAGCCAAAATTATGATAAATGGACATTTTAAATATCAGGCTCAGTTGGTACAACACAAAGCCTATATGCAGTATGTTATTTGCTGTTAAGACAGCTTAGCTGTGGTAGCACAGGGTTGTGTGCTTTTCTGAAGGTCATGGCTTTGATTTTTCATTGAGGCAGATTTTTTAATAATTAACTTGTGCTTCAGCCTAGCAAAGGCATGAAGAATTTGTAATGTCTTAAAAAGTAAAAGCAGTTAGCATTCTATTGACCACATAATCAAATCAAGTACTGCTTGATCTGCACAGATATGATGTCATGTCTAGATAGTGGTAAAACTCATGAAAATAAATTGTCTCATTAGTTTTGCGATATTACTGTTTCACTGTATAAACAATTATCAGATATGTTTAGTTGTAGTGTATCGATATTAAGAAATGTCAGCCTCACAATTCTTTACTTGACTTATCTGTTATTTTAGGAACAAATAAAGTCAAGTCATTTACAAGCTACCACAGACAGAAGCAAGTGCAAACATGGCAGCAAACATTTCTTCACTAGAGGAGCAGGTGTTTGAGTTTGCTGCGTTTATGAAGAATGTGGACATGTTTCCTGTGTTCTTCACTGCTCATGTCAGCCTGGCATGTTTGGTTGTCAGAGAAGATTCAAAAGACTTGGGTAACCTTTTTCTTTTTGTTTTGTAAATATACACTAATATGAATGTGGCATTCACTGAAGGGTAAAAAAATGATTGAATAAATGATAAATATGTGTTTTGTGGACACAAATGTTCCCTGTCCAGTGCTGTTGAAGGGTGGACACTGGGCAAGTAAATGTAGCTTATAGCTGCACTGCAGTCCAGTACATTATCTTAAAAAGGGCAAAATATAAATACGTGAAATGTAGAGTTGTTTATACATTTGAAATAAGAACACACATTTTTTTCTTTGTTATATTTGCTAAGGACTACTTCCAAAGGAATGGTGGAGGAAAGAGAGGAAAGCCTTAGGAAAACAAAATCAGTTACTGTCCCATGACTCTTAAGCTGCCTTGGAAAGACCATGGAAAGATTGGTGAATAACAGGTTACTTAATTTCCTGGAAGAAATCAAGATGGACGACAGCCAATCAGACTTCAGTAAATACAGAAGCATTGATGACCAAACCTCTTATCTCAGACAAGAAATTGAAGATGCTTTCCAGAAAAAATACAAGCTGCTAGCTACTGTCTTCAACATGACCAAAGCCTATGACAGGGTTTGGAAAAAGGACACTTGCTTAAACTAGCACACAGTGGGTAAAAGGACATGTGTTTGCCTGGTTTAGAGACTTTCTTTGCAGACGCTGCATGAAAGACAGACTGAAAGAACACAAAATTCAAGCTGGTCAGACTACAAAAAATTTTCCCTTAAGGAAATGTTACTATCTCCTACCTTGTTTATTCTTTTTATCAATGATCTCCCCAAACAGTTTCATCATCATTAGGTGCCTTGCCGACTGGCGAGGGCAATCATGCCTCTCCACAATCTGCGATCTCCTGCAGCATGTATCAGTTCGTGTGTCGACACACCTCCATGCCATGCAACAAGACTGTCAAGAATCTTTTCTTGTTGTCTTCCTCCATCCCTCTTTCCACAATTCTTTCCAATAGTCACATGTTCTATTTTCCCTCTTCTCATAATATGGCTGCAAAATGATGACTGTCTCCTTCTGATGTCTGTGATAAGTTGTCTTTGGGCTCCCGCCTCTTTCAAAACCTCTTGGTTGCTCTTTTTGGCTGTCCAAGGTATTTTAAGCATTCTTCTGTAAAACCACATCTCTGAGCCCTCAACAAATTGTTTGGCCTGCCTACTGATTGTCCAGGATTCACAGCCAAATGTTAAAACTGGATGTATGTAGCAAGCAAGAATTCTTTTTTCTCTCAGTCACAAAGATATATTGCACAAGATGTTCTTTATTTTATAAAATGCAGTTTTTGCCTCTTCTATTCTGTTTCTTATCTCAATTATGCATCTTCCATCTGATGGTACTGTGTGCCCAGATACTTAAATTTCTATACTTGTCCAAAAATAACACTATGCAGGAGAATGCAGGAAGTTATAAATACAGCAAAGAAATGGTCAGACTCTTGGGAGTCACAATAAACCAGACCAAAACCGCCTCAACTCTTTTTTTTCCACAAAACTAGAACAACTTGGTCTATACCTAGAAGGCAACATTTTTCCTAAAAGGACAACCCCACAAATTTAGGAGTAAAATTCGACAAAAGGCTAACATGAGGCCTGCAAACGGAAGACGCCCAAAGGAAAGGTACCCTGCGGGTTAGACTTATGACAAAACTTACTAGAACAAACAGATACCAACACAGTACGAAAATAATATAGAGAATACGTTCTACCAAAACTGGAGTATGGCATGGGGGCATACTCTTGCAGCCAAATCAAATCTATACAAACTGGACAAAATACAGAAGACTTGTCCCAGAATCATCACTGAAGGTTTAAGAAGAAGTTGTCTTCAGTGCTTGAGCCATTGAAGGGAAGAATAGGTGCTTACCCCAGACAGAAACATTTAAATGCATGAACAACAACCCCATGCTTAGAATAGCAAACAGCTTAACTAATAACCGACTGAAAAGACAAATCTTTCACAGTCTATCAAAATTGTTTTGTGTCAAAAAAATAGTGACATCCTTTCTAAAGATCCTTCAACATTTGAAATAATCCAGGCATACAACATAGACCTACAGCCTAACTATATAGTCACAACAACAATAATTGGTGCTTTCCCAATATACCCCCCCCCCTTCCAAGAATGACGTCATAGGGTGGTAAGAGCGGGTTTCCTGGCTTTCTGGTGCTTTTAACTACCCCAAAACATTTCAAACTGGGCCTAACCCCAACCCACCTACATCCCATGAGATAGTCTGCCTATCTACCACCCCCTAAAATATTCAAATATGTTTGTTGGGAGATATTGGGATAGAATCCAATAATATATAGAGAAAAAGATGTATACATGTGTCAAAATTGTAACAGACTCTGAAAGCCTGCTGAGAAAGGTAAAGACAAGGATGCTTCTAGCAGAGTGGCAAGCTTCACTAGAAAGGTCACGGTAGTGAGCATACTTTGGAATGTTTTCTCCAGGTCATGCTGGCCTGGTGGGAAATGAACAGGCAGACAAATTGGCTGGATCTGCACTACTGGGTGGTAAGTTGATACATGACAAGGCTGATATGGTCAGGGCCCTTTGGGAACAAGTAACGGAGTCAGAAGCGAAACAAGATTATGGCCTGGAGAGAATGAGGCACCTGGATGTAACCAGGGGGTCTGGCCGGCTCACTACACTCAGGGGAAAGGCAAGACTGACAAATAGCCAGAGCACTGCCGGTACTGTTAGTATTGGAACTCTGCACTGGCTGCTGAAGATGAGGTCAGAGCATGCATGGGAATGCCCCAAGTGCTGTGATATCAGTTCTGGACTCAACAACAATAATCTCAGGCATAGACGGAAAGGCCGAAGAATTCGTGAACTAGTACTGCATGCAAAGAACCTTGACCATGTCTACAACTCTCACCCAGAACCCGAATGGACACACGTATACACCAATAAATCTTTGGAGGGAGCAGCAGAAAAATGGAGGAGCTGGTTTGGTCACATGCTGCAAGATGGGGCCACAGTTGAAACTTCATGTGCCTCCAGGAAACTCAGCAAACTTTAGAGAAGAGCAGCGAGCAGTTATTGATACAACCACAGTGCTTGAGGAAATAACAATTGAAAACAGCAAAATTGTTTTTCTTTGTCAATGCATATCAGTCCTCCAGGTGACTCAAAGGAATCCATGAGACAACGTGGAGAGAGAACTGACCCGCCAGCTAAACAGACTCTCAGAAAACAATCAAATTGTTCTTTAGTGAATCCTGGCTCACTGCAGCATACCAGGAAATGAGTTAGCGGACAAACTTGCAATAAATAGAACAAAGGAGAAACAACACACCCTTTCATTGTCATTACCAGAAATCAAAACACTTACCAAGAGAAAACACAGGGAATTGTGGAGATAACAAATCAACAGTAAACATCCATCCACAAGACCACATCAGCAGACTCAACAGAAAGCAACATACAAAAATCTTCAGTCTACAAACAAGACACCGCAGGCTCATCTGCCACGTGCAGAAAATAAAGATTGTACTGTCTCCACAGTGTGCCTGTCAGACAGGACCACAAACACCTGAGCACATTCTATAGACCTGCCCCCTCTACCTACAACTTCAAAAAGATTCTTGGCCTCAAGAGCAAAGTGTGCAGAGCAAGCTTTGGGGAACCATAAAGGACCTGCAGCTGACTTGCAAGTTCATAGAAGTTATATTTGCTGACTATAGGTTGGATTATGTAGACAATAACAATCACAAACAAGAACTCTATTAGAGCAGCATGACAGTCTGGTCCATTGATGCCCACTTCACTAATCCAGTCATTAGAGAGAAGTCAAAGACTTGCTTTCAAGAGGTAGGCAGCAAGACGTGTAAAAATAAAAGCATTATTAATTTCCAATTCTGCTTTTAAGCGTTGTGGGCAAGAACAGTTTGCGATCCATTACTTGAAAGGCAGCAATGTCTATTGTCATTCCATGTCGATGGAGAAGCTCTTTAATGCATCAGTCCATGTTCTCATAGGGCTGCCTTTTGCTTTAACTTCAGATCTTTTCATTCATAGCACGTGATTGGTAGTTGTTCTGGCTGCATTCTTATTAAATGACGAAACAATTTGATCTTGTATTTCTCAATAAATTTGCTGCATTATGTTGTTCCCACAGTCTGTCTGATAATATCATTTCTAACTTTATCAGCTTTTCTCTCAGGTATCTAATTTCACAAGTGTTAATTTTGTATGGGTTAGCCTTTGATAATGTTGAAGTCGGGCACTGGTAGCACAAAACTGGTATGAATATGCTGTTTATAAAACAACATAAAAATCACATCAGGACAAAGATAAACAGCAGTGGCAGACATAAAATATTGGCTGTCCAATGCAGCCAAACATGATGGTGAAGATAGCACTTGATTTAAATGTGTGCACTGGCACTACTGACCACAATGTTTACAGTGGGCATTTATCTTGATGAAGCAATACAATAAACATCATGACATTCACTAACTTGTCAGTGTATACAATGCTCTTGTATTCATCATTCTTTTTCCTAAAGATATATTTGAAATATACAGCTCATCTACAAAAGCTGTGTGTTTGCTTAAATAAATGTTCCTATGCTTGCTTGCTTAACCTCACCAAGAATACTGCTTGCCAGTAGGCACACTCAAAATCTGGCATATTCAGTCAGTGAAAAGTGAAAACTAGATTTTACAGGCTCAATTCATTGACATTCCTATGATCTTTGCCCATGAACATCTAATGTACTTTTCTGTATTGTCTTTGTGCTGTAAGCAGTGCTTCTAGCTTGTGGACTTCTAGTAATTTGCCCTGGTCTCTGGGTAGTAAGATCGGACGCCCCTGTGTATTGTTGCCAAGTGAAACATCCCTTGGCAGTTGGAAATAAAAAAGAGTAGCCTAATGGTGTATTGCCGGGGCAAAATTTGGAGGGGGAAAATCTACCCTAAGTATTTCAGGATCCTTGCCAGTGCTACAGGTTTCAGCACTGCTCTGAGATTCTTTGGACTCAGGCTTGAGTTATAAGTAGAACGCGGCACTTATGTGTTACTACCCTTATGCCGTGATGTTGATCAGTTGTGTAAACCTTTAAAAACCTAATTTTATGTTGCAGTGTATTTTTAATAATTAATTTTACTGGTAGTGTGATTGAGATAGTTTTTTCCCCACAGGTACCAAGTTTAGACAGAACCATCCATTTACCCTCTGGCTTTGCACAGTGATTGCAAGTGTGTCTGGGGTGTTTCTAGCAAATTTCTTGTTTGGGGACCCATTGGTGGACATTCTCAAAGAGAACAAACTGATAGCATTTATTACAATTTTATGGTGAGTATTTCTTAAACTCACGTCCATGTTAACATTTGAAACATTTGTTTACTTAGGCCATGAGTTGATATAAGTAGATGCCCTCTCTTTCTGCACATTTGCCTTAAATTTGTTTTCTTTATAAACATATTTATATTTAGAATTATGCGCACAGCCTAGAGCTTGTAAACTTGATTCTTAATTGTAATTACATATTTTACTAGTGCCTTAAATATATATATATATATAAAACTTTTTTTTAAAACAGTTTTTCTGAAAAGATTTATGCTCAGAATGATCTGTTGGGGGTTGAAATGTGAGGCCGTCACCCCCACCTTCGTAAAACTTCATTTCCTCATGAAGTTATTGGATTTAAGAATGGATGTGACAGTGATTAAAGCAATAAGGTGGCCAGGGCAAGGTACCAAAGAAGAAAATGAAACACTAAAATTAAAACGAATGTTACATCTCCCCTCCTCCCCCGGACACTTCATTGAGATACATGGTAGAAGAGAAGAAAAAGAAGAATGGTAGGAACAGTAAGTTACATATGAAAAGACAATAACACAGTATAAAAATGATTAGTGTACATGCACCCACTGAAAATGAAGAAGATGATTTAAAGATTTGTATGGTGTCATTGACTTTTGTCACAAAAGAAACTCGGAAACAAGACAGACTGATTGTATTGGGAGATTTCAGTGGAAAAAATAGGTAGGTAACCCTCCTATAAAAATGTAGGCAGGCATGGAAAGCCTACATAACATAACCCTCAACCTGTTCGGGTTGTCGAGGTATATCGATGGAAGCACTACCACACAAAACCTGCCATCTTTCTCTGTCTTCTGCTTGTTGAAGTGTATGATAACTTAGTCCAATCCATTTCTTAAAGTTGTCATTCTAGGTTCTTCTTTGCCCTCTTCCTCTTCTACTTCACCCCCCCCCCCCCCCCCCCCCCTACTTTCCAGTGTTCCTTGAAGAACAGTCTTTACAAATGAATAATGTCTCACGACGTGCCCCAACCAAGCTAGCTTGCGACATTTCACGACTACCAAGAGAGGCTCCTCATGTCCTGCAGATTTGTTTATTTTTGTCTCTGACATATTTGTGTTCTAAACAACTGTTTCGTAAAGTTCCTACTTACAACTTCAAATGATAATGGATTGAGAGTAATCGACCTCACAGTAGCCAAAGTGCTGCAGATAAGCAGCACCAGATTTAAAAAAAAAGATATTGATAAACATGACTTGATAGCTTGATCAAACAGATCACATTGTAATAAATAATAGAAATGCGTCAAACATTCAAGAAGTTGGAAGCTACAGACAAACTAAGTGCCATAGTGACCACTTTCTGGTTGGTGCAGAATCAAAAATAAAAGATTAGGAGATCCTTCTGCAATAAGTTGCAAAGATCACATCCTAGAGTACAGTAGAGAAAACACTGCAAGAAACATCAATCTCACAGAAACTGGCAGGTGAATTAAAATGTCATATTTATCGTCATCGTCATATTCAGTTATTTTTCTCGCAAACTTGTGTTAGTGTAAATTATGCATCTGTGCAACCTTTTCCTTTCCTAAAACTAAATTCTGACTTCTGACTAACTGTGACAGTTCCTATTAAAACATCTCCCTAATTCCATCACTATCTTTCTCCTACACTTCTTTGTTTTATATTACACAGAGCAGATGTCTTTAATTAAATCCTGGTTTATCTGTTGTTTACTAATTTTTTTAAACTCTGAAAGGTACTTGATTAACTACTGCCCCTTTGATGTGGTGTACAAAGTTGTGGCATTGCGGCCAGTATTTCTGACTGCAGCCATCCTACAAGAGTGTCTGAGGCTCCGATTTATTTATTTGGGTGTACAGCAGGCTGCCAAGCTTTACCCTACTGGATATGTCATTATTATTATTGGTGGTGTTATTAAAGGTAAGTGGATAGTTACCCTTGCATGTAATCTACCTTGATGATGCCTTCAATAGAGTTAGATATGATATTTTGATATCTGTGCTCATGGAGAAGGGAGTTTGTCCCTGGCTGGTGAATCGGATAGCAGCTGTCCTGCATTCAAGTATGGTTGCTCTTGGCCTAGGTACATGGACCACAGAACCATGTAATGTTGCCCTGGAATTATCCCAGAGTTCTACAATTTGACTAGTGCTCTTTAGTGTGTATAAAGCAAGACTGCAGAACTTGAATCATAAGGGGTTGGAAGAATTTTTACATTTGCAGGTGTTCTTTCAGGGAAGTGATAGGCAACTGGTGTGCAGAAATGGGTGCTGTCATCAACTCAGAAAAGTCAGCTATTTAATGGTGCTTTCTGGATAATAGAATTGTAAGAGCTAATGTTCCGGGTCTCACAGGTAATGACACCTGGGTATTATTTTCGATAGAAGTCGGTCTCTCATGAATCATGCTGAAGCAGTTGTGATAAAATGAATGCCAAAAAGGACTCACTGCTCTCAAGATTATGGCAGCAATGGACATGGAGCAAAGAATGCTGTTCAGCATGTGATCGTGTAGGTGATAGATTATGAACTTTGAATGCTTAAAACATATCAAAGAGTCAGCTGATGAAACTTCAAAGCCTACAGAATAAAGCCATGGGGGTAATTATGGCATGTACAAGAGACACCCCTGTAGTGTAGTGTGTGTGTGCGATATAAACTTGCAGTGCCTTCTGTTGCAGATAGGCTCAAAGTTATGCAAGCAAAGAGTAGCTGCGGACAAGAAGCCCTATGTAGACCTGAGGGTCACAGACTGAAAATAGGAAGGTCTTGGATCGTGCAAGCTGAAGACACAGACTTGTGTGTATGCTTGATAAATTTGCGTAAAAAAAGGAGTGGGTCGAAGTGTCCGAGCAAGAATAAGACTTGTGTAGGGTTCTAATCGTTAGAAAAAGAATTCTTGCTTGCTACATACATCCAGTTTTAACATATGGATATGAGTCCTGGACAATCAGTAGGCAGGCCAAACATTTTCTTGAGACCTGTGGTTTTACAGAAGAATGCTTAAAATACCTTGGACAGTCAAAAAAGCAACCAAAAGGTTCTGAAAGAGGCGGTAGCCCGAAGACAACTTATCACAGACATCAGAACGAGACAGCCATAATTGTTCGGCCATGTTATGAGAAGAGGGAAAGTGGAACATGTTGTGACCACTGAAAAAGATCTGTAAAAGGAGGGATAGAGGAAGAAAACAAGAGAAGATTCCTGACAGTCTTGTTGCATGGCATGGAGGTGTGTCAGCACACAAACTGATACATGCTGCAGGAGATCGCAGATTGTGGAGAGGCATGATCGCCCACGCCAGTCAGCAAGGCACCTAATGATGATGAGGAGGATTCTAATAACGTTAGGTCATGAGTGCAGAGACTGGCCAGCTGATGCTGAAGAATTAGAATTTTAACAAATGATACATTATTATTCCCGCCTTGGTAATATAATTATCTATACAGATGGCTCTGTGTTTAGAGGTAAACAAAGTGCATAGGGCTTCATAGCAAAAGTGAATTGACATCGCTTAGTGCAACAAAGCCTGGCATATGATATCAAAATGTCCAGTTTGAGAATGGAGTTGGAGGCAGTCACTACTGCCGTGACTATCAGCTGTACACACATGTCGTGATTGTATCTGACCCACAGAGCAAGTTGAGAAAGGTGGAGACAGATGCAGAGTGGCAGCATCTCTTCTGAGGTCCCGAGTAGCGTCCTTTGGATATTTTCTCCAGGTTATGCTGGTGTGTTGGGAAACGAGCAGGCAGAAGGACTGGCTGGTTCAACACTACTTGGCAGTGAACTGATTTATGACGTGCTCCCTCAGGGAGTGATTGAACAGTGAGGAGGCACTAATACTTGTAGATCATTACGGTCTAAGGAGAATGGCACTGAAGGGAGTTACCAGGAGATCTGGCTGGCACTCAACAGTCACGGGAAAGGCGTGACATGTACAATCAGACAGTTAGAGGTACCATCGGAATTGGAACTCTTCGTTTACTGCTGAATATAGGCACTGATGGGGTCTTTTTCCTGACATGTTAAAAACTGTCCAGACTATCTGCCTATCCCCTACTGACTTAGTCTTTCAGTATATGGATTCTCTCTGTTCCACTGCACTTCCCAGCTGATTATAGAGAGCCTTCACTATGTCAGTTTCATCATAAAGTAGCTCACTGCCCACAGAAGCAGCAGCAGCCAGTCTATAATCCTGCTTATTGCCCCGCACACCAAAATGTTATAGGCAGAAAATCCTTATTTGAGTCTTTAAACCATCCTAGCCACTCTGTGTGTAGGATACCAGTCTCTATTTTGTGAAGTGTGTTCTGTGAGTCCATTACAATTACAACATATGACAATGTTCTGTTCTTCATTAATCAGAATGCTGAATTTAGTGCTCTCATCTTCATTCTCAGACTTGATGTTTTATACAAGGCCGTTCTTTAAACAGTGTCTATTAACTTTGCAGTGAAACTCTAGACAGTTTTGACCTCTCATAACAGAATCATCAGTGTAAATATAATCTGGATGACAGTTTTTGATCAGCTGTTACACTGCTGCCTCTTTCCCCAGCTATCCATTTACAGCAGCCTCAGATGAAGGTCTATACAGGGCTGGGTGAAACTGTCATCTATTCCTTACTATGCTCTATCTTGGCAATTGCACAAACATTTCTGATAGTGATTTCTGCTTGTGGAGATCCAAGACTACGTTTTATAAGCCAGTGGTCCTGGTATTGCCTAAGGCCTCATGTAGAGAGTGTTAGAAGAAATGGGATGTGTCGGCCCTCCATTCTCTTATTTGGAGTCATTAGAGCAGGAATAATAACATGCATGAACAACATAAATTCTTTATAACTGTCACATATCGCTCCTGTCGCGTGCCTGATTTAAGGAATTCTCCTTAAGAACCAACAGCACTCTGAAATAATTATGTTGAGTCGTTGGCTCGTATTGGTCTAAGGGATGCCCCGTGGCCAATATACGCTCAACTTATTTCAGGAGTAGGGCAACTCAAGTTTTGGCACTACAAAATATATAATATTCCTAGGCACACTTGGCTGGACACGCCCACTACTATAAAAAGATAGCCCCCAGGTTATGATAGTCTACTATCATAACCATGTTAACACAGATGAAAATATTTTATTGAACATACATGTATTTTAGACAGCTAAGAACAATGAATGAGTGACACTCCAGTCAATAGTGAAACTTTAGAAATACTGTAATAAGTGTAACACATACATTATATAAGAATCAGCAAAGAACTTCAAGAACTCAGAGTGATATGAAGGACCAAAACTTCAAACTCGATCTTGAATTGACTGAACGTGTATGAATGTTCCAAAGTCTGCCTATCTCATCCTTATGATCAGTGTGGACATTTAATAGTGAAGCCTGGCAATAAACCCATGAGTGTCCACACTTATCTGAATACTTGGTTTCTTGAACTGGCTGGATGTTCAGTCACTCTGTTGTTATGTTCAAGACAGTCCCACACTAGACACTGGAGATACACCCAAGCTCCTGGAGAGGATCTTAGGTACCAAGTCAAACACTTGAGGCACAAACAAACTGCCAGATAATTGATGGTGGAGGTATAACACCCATAATGTTGTCTGTAGACCAACTGGAGGATTTCATTAGTTGATGACCACAATGAGGTTCACAATCTGATGCCCACCACTGGCTTAGACATAGGTGACTTCCTTGTAGGTGGTTTTGTGGACTGCTGATTCACTGCCTGGCTTCCAAGGAGATATCATCCTGTATCAAGAAGGAACTCAGAATTAGTAGTCATCTCAGAGGTTACATGTCAAGCTCAGTTTATCAACATCCACATTAGTAATCATTCAGAGGACAGCTCTGGGGATAATGAGACAGTGTAAGTCTCTACATATCATCTCTATTGTTCAGTCAGTAACAGTGACAGGAGATGAGTGCCAGAGTGGAAACAGATAGACTATAAAACAGAGAACATCAACTCTCCTCGCCCACCCGCACTTGTAGACACACATCCCATCTCTCTCTCATATATATATTTTTCATACCATCCCCCGTCTGTTTACCGTACACACTTTGTTGTGCTAAAATTAACCTTTGACCCAGAGCGCCAAGCTTGCTTTTGTCACAGCAACAAGCCGGCCAAAGATGATCCAGTTTATCTGTGTCTATTAGTCGATACAAATCCTACGTTTAGTTATAGTATTACTTGTAGGGTTTAATATCTTTACAAATGGTGTGGGTTATTTAGAGCACAAACTATTTAGTCTGCACAGGGAAAGGTTTAATGTTCGGAGCCCAATCTCTGGACATCAGGAACGGTCGAACTCTGTGCGATTACATAGCTAACTTTGCCTTCTCTGCAGCAGTAGCCAACTTTAAAAAGACATCAATTATGGTACTCGTAAACTATAAACTTACCCAAGCTTAGGAAATGTCCTAGACACCAAAGGCCGCCTCCTCAAAGCATAGATGTACGAGGCACAGTTAAGAACATCTGTTCTTCTAGGCAGAAAATGCCCGCTTCAAACTGCGCTTAGTGTCACTAGGAAAGAAGTTCCTTGTATTCATGAACAAGGAGTAACCCGGTTGACAGGAATTTCTAAATAAAATACCAGAATTCGCCAACCTATAGTTGCAAGTTTGAAATTGGAGATATATCAAAGCAACTAGAAGGTCTAGAAATGAATATTTTACCAGATAAAGGTATGATCAATATAAGGGACTATATACCCTTCTGGACGGGTCTAAGTTTGAAATTTTGCTGAGCGCGAGGGATATCAAGTCCCGACTCGTCCACTGTGTATGGTGGCTGTTCAACTCATGACAATAACCAGCAGACATTGATATGAACACCAGCTTGCACAATGTATTGGAAAAAGCACACAAACGAACCTTAACATCTCCCCCCACCACCTCACTGAGGTAAATGGTGGAAGAGAAGAAGAAGAAGGCAGTGATAACCAAAAACATCCATACACTCCCAGTTCCCTGCTGTGTAGGATAGAGACTAAATGGTCTATCTGGTGCAATGACTTCTCATCTAGTTAAAATCATTAAAGTCACTATAAATGTCAAGAAATTAATTTTCTGACAGATTTCTGTTGTTTTATAACGTGCAGCACTAGGCTTTTTAGGTAATGTTTTAAAACTGATTACTTAAACATTAATCTTGAAACAGGAAATGGTTATGGATTTGTGAAAATTGTGGAACGACTGATAAGAGGCAAATGGATACCAACAACTAATGACTTGCTGGATATAACCTAGTAAGTTTGCTTCACAGCTTACATACCTGTCCTTGTTTGTGCAGCTTTCTATCATCTTAATTGAAACTACAAGTCTTTAGTTATTTGTGAAAACTGGAATGATAAGTTACATGTATTTTATATTGTTAATGTTTGTTCCCTCATATGTTCTCACTTTAAAATCTTGGTGGCCCTAACACTAGACATAACAGATTGGTACAAATATAGGATAAGTTAATGTATTTTATATTGTCAAAGTTTGTTCCTACTTTAAAATCGTGGTGGCCCTAACATTAGACAGAATAGATTGGTACAAAGACGGGACCATTTAATTTAAAAACAGTATTGTTTTAGTTTTGCTTTTTTTTTCCAAAGTACTACATAGTATAATTTTATTTTCATAATTCACCCTTTGTAAATCAAATGCATACTTTTGCAGATCCAATTCACTTTTTCGCATTTCAGGTTTATTCGTAAAAATATTTTCTTAATGTAATAAAACTGAAATCTAATTAAAGCTGTTGTTGAAACTGAAACTTTATTGCTTGAATGTAATACTGCAATAATGATAAGATACCAATTTAAATAAAGATCTTGCATTCATAAAAAAATGACATTGGTTTCCAGGTGGACCCAGCCTGAAATGAGTATGGGGAAATGCACTTGGAGGTTAATGCAGCTGGGTGATGATGATGACCCATCAAGTGCCACTAGTCTATAAATAATATGAGTAGCATTATATACCAAATACCCGCTAGGGTCCTTGACATTTTGCTTTTACTTTGTGTCCACTATTTAGAGGTATAGGGGCTTGTGTGTTTCAATGACTCCATGAGATATGCAGACCATAGCTCAGCTACTCAAAAGTATGGCCCATGATTTACCGCTGAGAAAAAAAAAAGCAAATTCTGCATCATGCTTTGTCATATTCCGCAGCATTACTAATGCAATACCATAATTCTAATGTGTATCCCTAGGTACCTATTTTCCCATGTATATGACACACCTTGATTTTGGGACTGAAAATTTTTAAAAATTATATGATTACATGAAATCTACTGCCATTGTTTAAGACGCAGACTTTTTTTAAGACCCTACATTTTGGGAAAATAAATACATCTTATACTTGGGGAATACAGTTTGTCAAATCATTCACATCCGAATATTTTAATCCACAGATTTGCTTACATGTATAACACAGTTCTAAATTTTTTGAATATTTTAAAGTTATTTTTTTTTTTAAATTATTGAAGAAAACAACACTGTAAGCTGGTAGATTTTTGGTGACAGCACAGACCCATATTTTGAGAATGGGCATCGAAGCTAACAATAATGTTTCTACTTCTTCTAACCCTTGGGACCATTGCTTCATTAACATACAGAGAAGAAATGAACGGGTCAGTCGCTTTCTGCAGAATTTATGTTTTTCATGGCATTCAATTGAATCCTGTTAATTGCTCAGTGTGGCGGGAAAGACATGCCAAATTTATATTTCTTGTGGCATTTAGGTTCATCCTGTTGATTCCTGGGAGTGGCGTGAAAATCTGCAAGTTGCAGTAAATCGTGGGCCTTACTAAGGTCTTCATGTCAAGACAGGTCAGGGAAGAGGAACAGGACAAAGAGGAAAACACATCTGTAGATCAGAAACGGTCAAAGGCTAGGGAGCTGCCTCAGATGTTTGAACTACTGTACTCTGATGCTGTTGACTCTAATAATAATCCTGATGATGCTAATTCATTTATGACAGTATACGACAATATAGGGATAGAGCAGACAGAGGCGTGCACAATTTATTGTAGAATAGGTTTTATGGTTAAAAGATTAAAGCACTCTCACATTGTATATTTCTAACGTTGCAGCTTTGCCAAGTCCAGCCTGTATGCCAGTGTGCTATTTCTTCTACAGCACATGGAGGTGCTTGCTGTCCCTGTGGAGCTGCTTTACTTAGGAATTGTAGTAGCTTTTGTGACACTGAGGTTGATTATTGTGTTGGGGGGAGTCAGGGACCCTTTGCTACCTATAGAGTTACCTATATGTACCTTGCTTTTTGGTAGTGGTGCAGAGGATAAAGACACAGGAAAAACAGACGGTGTTGTAAAGAAAGAAAAAGTTATAAAAAATGGAAACGATAGAGAGAAACAAGACAAAAAAATTAAATAACTCACATCATATGCACACAATTACACACAGCTTTCCCAAAGACAGTAAGCCAGAAGAACTTGTGTAGATCAGTGTCACCAGCATTCAAAACAATCAAAGTGAAATGGATCGGATCATTTTACTCAGGCAGTACCCAGCACCTGACCACCTGTTTACTTGTTATTTCTTAGTTGTGGTTTTCATTAACTCTTTATTATTATCCAGCTATTACACTCAAGCATTTTATCTCAGATATTAGTTTAAACTGTTTTGTCCTGAAGTGTTATTATTTGATCCCTTTCATGTCAAAACATTTATATTTAAGAAATGTTTAGATTGGATCAACTGAAGTAGCACATTAGTAAAATCAATAGATAATGGTAATGAAATTAAAATGCTATAGAACCAAGATATGCTTCTAATGTTCATTCTTATTTTCATGTCAGATGAAAGTACTACTTGCTAAATGTTCATTTCCTTTATATTGACATGAGAAAAGCATGGGCCAAGCTATATATATAACTAGTTTTAACACAAAATTATGCTGGACATATTCTGTTTTGCAGTGCCCCCTTCCCAAATTACAACTTATCTCCATTAGTAACAGTTAATTAAAGTTTCATGAACAAGTGTTTTGTTACTGAGCTTTATTGATACGATTTTGTGCCCATGGTAATCAGATTGATTAACATTCTTTCATCATCATCAAGGGAGGAACAGTTTGCAACCCATTGCTTGATGGGCAGCAATGGTTATTGTCATTCTGTGTCAATGTAGAAGATCTTTTATGTCATCAATCCATGTTCTCCTAGGGCAGCCTCTTGCTTGAACATTCTTTTAACTATATTATTTGTATGTAAGCAGATTTCATGATTCTGAAACAATCAGGTTGGACTTGGCGTGTGAAATAAAGTGTTTAATATTCTTTTGCTTCCCAACAGGAAAATATTTATATATTAACCATTTAGCACAAATAATGTATACTGTTTATTTAAAGCAACAATTATAATAAGATGGTTATTTTAATTGAAATAATTAATATCATGATGTCCAGTTTTAGTGTTTTTTGTTCTTTTTCCAAATGAGGTTTTCAGTTCTACAATTATATAAGTCCACACTGATGGGGTGTTCACACAACACTTGTTTAAAATGAAGATAATACTGTTTGGGTGTGAGTCTGTGCATATTTAAGATCACAGCATAATGAGATGTTGTAATGGCCAGTTCCTTTCCACACCACCTCCTGTTCACAGACAATTTTCAGAATAAACTGTCTGGTTAGAGGATTGAAAGGAAACTATAATATGCGCAACATAAAGCACAAATGGGTTTCAGACCGGGCAGAGGAACTAGGGATCACATCTTTAATATGAGAATAATTTCTGTAAAATATAGAAAATACAATGTAGATCTCCATACTTATTGCATTGATTATAGCAAAGCTTTTGATTGTGTCCAACATCAACAATTTTGGAATATCATGAGAAGTATGGCATTTCTAGCACATTTTGTGCATTTAATTTAAAATTTATATCATGAACAAGCCACTATCAGAACAGAAGAAGAAACATCTGATTGGTTCGAAGCCCCAAAGGGAGTGAGAAGGAATGCATTCTCTCACCATACTAATATATATATATATAAATGCAGAAAAACAATGAGAAATGTCAAAAATGACCAGACGTTGTGAGTTATGATCCCCTCATAATTGCTAGCAACCCTGTTCCGGAACTTCGCTATGAAGACGACAAAGTTCTCTTTTCAAACAATGTAAAGGGAATAGAACATCTAATCATATGGGTCCAAAAACACTGAAGATCAAAACCTCATGTTGAATTTAAAGAAGGCAAAAATAATGTCCACAGACAAAACTGGTTGTAACCTAAAAATAACAATAAAAGAAAAAGAAATTGAAAATGTCACAGACTTTAAATATCTAGGCTCCATAATAGATAGCAATGGAGACTGTTCAACAGAAGTCAAAAGGAGAATGGCCATAGCAATACAAAGATTAAACATAAACAGCATTAGGAGTTTGTTTGAGCACCAGCAAGGAAATCAAAGTTAAAGAGCATGCATCTTCCCGCAAGCAACATACGGAAGTAAGTCGTAAACTATCAGACTTTAAGAAAGACAATAGCGGCTTCTGAGCTTAAATGCTATACAGAAATTCTCAGAATACCATGGACAAAGAAGAAAAAAAATACGGACATTCTGAAAGATCATATTGAGCGCCATGGTGGACTGAAAAAACCCAGAAACAATAGAAGACATGCTACCAAGAAGGAGGGGCAGGGTCCGAATAACACGAAGATGAACATAGGATATAACTGATTCCTTGGATATGAAAGTACAGGAGAGCTGGCGATAGAGTTTCTTACTGGCAGATCATGATGAGGGTGACGTTCAACAAAGGACATGATACACGATGACGTTTCAGACTTATGATACATGTCTATATACTGAAGGTTCTGACATCATTTAAGGACCATGTGGAGAGTGTTGTGACAAGATGCCAAAAAGAACTTAGTGCACTTAAGACTATGGCTGCAATTGATATAGAGCAGAGAATGCTTTTCACACTATATCAGCACCTAATCCTGTCAGTGGTTGATTATGGCCTGGGAATGCTTACCGTCTCAAAGAGTCAGATGGACAAACTAGAGCGCATTCAAAACGCGGCTATGCGGGTCATTCTAGGTTGCACCAGAGACACCCCACCCCAGTGGTGTGTATGCGATACATCCTTGGTTTGCCAACGGTTGCAGGTAGGCACAAGGTGCTGCAGGCGAAGTCATATCTCAGGGTAGCTGCAGACACAGACCACCCTCTGCATGAAGCTCTGGGTGCAGTTAAGGGTCAGCGGCTGATAAGATGGAGGTCATGGATGGCTCAGGTAGAAGACACATTCAGACAGGTTTGCATCCTTGAGAACATTAGGCGAGGAAAAGAGTGGGTCAAAGTGCCACCTGAACAGTCAGACTTGTGTAGAGTCATAATCACACTGAGCCGGGAATGCAGAGACTGGCCAGCAGGTGCCACAGGGGTGGAAATTCAGCAAGTAATTCAAGATAATGCTCTCTCAGAGAATTTGATCATTTACGCAGACGGTTCAGTGTCAAGAGGCAAAAGAAGTGCTTGTGGCTTCTTAGCAAAAGTTAATGGTCGACGTTTGGTGCAGGCGGTCACTGCAGCTTTCCATTGGCTAGAGAACACAACACACACACATCGTGATTGTAACTGATTTAGAAAGCATGCTGAGGAAGATCAGAACAGATATGCTTCGTGCAGAGTGGCATGCTTCGCTGCGGAGGACACGGGTAAGGAGTATTGTCTGGATTTTTTCACCGGGTGACGCCGGTGTGTTGGGAAATGAACAGATGGACAGACTGGCTGGCTCTGCACAACTTGGTTGAATACTGATACATGATAAGGTAGATGTGGTTAGTGCCTTGTGTACAGTTCGGAGGAGCAGATGGATCACCAGTCTGGTGAGATTGATGCAGCGGGGAGTGACGAGAGATTCTGGCAGAGGCTCAGAGGAAAGGCAAGACGGACGTTTAATCAGAATGCTACTGGTACCATTAGAATTGGAACTCTTCGATGGCATCTGAAGATGGGGATGGAGCGCTTATTGGAATGCCCCGTGCTGTGATTTGGTTCTTGAATCAAATCAAATCACTTATTATTTAAGGATTTGAAAAGCTGTTGTGGTTTGCATTTTAATTCTGTGTATAATCATTGTTGTCATTAAAAAAAACTAACCCACTGGAACATCCATCTTCAATGATAATGGGATATAAAAGACAAACTGTGATACATCATGTGTATGTATCCCAGCCCTACCTTAACCAGATCCAGTGCTCAGACATGTGTGTCTCCACTCTGCTGCTTGTTGACTGTGTAGGTGATGCTCACAGAACATGTCTTTACCTCATGGAAAATACACACTGGACATGGCAATATATTCAGTCTGATTGCATCAGGACAGCAAAGAAACTAATGTGTGGAATGACAACCACTGCATAATCTGAAGTGTCTCTGGTTCCAAGTATGCATGCATTTTCTGCAGAATGTTCACCTATGCACTTGTATATTTATATTTTGCACAACATTTACACAGTTGTGGTTTTCATGTGTCTAAAGCACTACACAGATTGTTTACAACAAAATATCATATTTTTGCAGGCACTTTAATCTACATTCAACTCTTGCACTACACAGAATTAATGTATAAAAGGGAGAAAATGTGGCTTACACAAAGTATTTTGGGGGGGAAATTTCAAACACAGCAATGCACAACATCTTAGCTAAGAACACGTACAAATAAATAATGACAATCAAAAAGGAATTTCAGTAATGGAATACAATAGTTAAAAAAAAAAAACAACAGTAAAAAATGTAAATGTTGGCAGAGCTAGGATCAAACGGTTTACATGATATGTTATGGGGATGACATGATACAACTTCAGATTGTTAATAGTGTGCTGTTATAGTATGACATCACTTACAGGAGACAACACTAAAATGCACACACCCACTGGAGTGTCAAAAATATTTCTCAGCAGGAGCAAAACTGCTGGCTCCACTCTACAAATATAATTATGGAAGGTAGGTTGTTTTTATACTGTGCATTAGCAAGTACTGAGACTGAATACAGCAAAGCTGTAGTGCAGTGGTCTCTAACCTTTTTTTTCCCAGCTTGTATTCCCTTGAATATTTGGCAGGACCTCCATGCCCCCCCCTCCCCTCCCCCCCCCCCCCCCGAGTGTATGCAAGACCCCTTTCCCCTAACATAACAAAATGTGACTAAAGGAGGACAATAGATTCAGCAACAAGGGAAATGCATGGTTATACGTTCTGATCAGAATGTGTTCTTAATCTATAATTAAATACCTGTGTTATGTTAATTCTAACTAGATATAAAAACCACTTATAAAAATACAAAAAATGCTTTTTGTTTTATAAATGGTTTTAAAAAACATATTTTTTTATTTATAATTAAACTGCAGAAAAAAATAATATGAGGATTATTACAAATACATATGCACTTAATTTCTAAATTACTTGACACACCCACTTGAAGCATCTTGGCCACCCCTCCACCTCCATGTTGTCATGAAACGACTGTCTAGTGACAATAATGAACCTGCTAACCAAAACACTTTAAGTTTTGTCATGTATTATACATTTCATTGTCAATATCATTACAATTGATAAACCAAAAGTGTCATCTTTTCTAATAAACAATTGCCAAGCTAATGTCTGTGCCCTTGTTTATAATGCTCTTAGTTTAACAGTTTTGCTTGACTGGCAAAAGGGTATTTTCAGGTTTGACTGCAATCTTAGACATCTCATTTCCCACTGTTAGAAATACTGTGTTGTGCAGAATGGTAGACTGATAATTTATTCTGATGACTATACTATGCAGGTCTTAAAAGAAAACTAACCGGCAGTACATACAAACTGAAATAAAGGATGAATGCAACTGAAGTTAAATCAGAATATCTTGTGTAATACTAGCAAACTAACTTTTGGCTGGAATGTAGCTGCATTATCTGGTGAGTGCACTAGAGTAGGTAGCAATATAGCCAACTGAAATGTGTTAAACAGCAAAAAAACATTGTAAATTTCAAAATACACACAGATATCTAAATATATATATATATAAATGTATGAAGCATATATGCATATATATATCATCTGTATTAGTAAAGTCACTCTTCCCTTGACTAGTCTATTCCGTTTCAGTGATCTGACTACAATACATAATTATCTGGATCTACATATTTTGATTGTTCAGTTTCTGACATGATGAGAAATGATAATTTAACGCAACCTAAAAAAAGGATGGCAGTCAACAAGAACAAAATGTAGATTTTACAAAAATGCAGATTAAAAAAAGCAGAAGAAACAATTGCAGCCTTCCCAGAAACATGACATTAAATTAAATACACCATAAATGGGAACTGTTAATGCTTTAGAATATCACTAACATACATTCATCCTCTGCTCAGAGAATGCCAAATATAATTATTTCTGGCATTGATACTGCCCCAAAAATGCTGATACTGTGGTGACGTTCTAGAAAAGTGTATTTAAATATCACTGGTTATTTATGCACCTGCATAGTGTTTATGATATGAATATACAAGGTCTGACAATTAAGCAATGAGACTGATTTTATTATGGCCAAGACAAAAATGCCATCTATGAAACAAAGCATGGAATCTAAAGAGGAAACATTCATCTATGATCCGGCAAATTTTCATCGCCGCTCGATAAGCAGACAACAAATAAGCCGCCTTTTTGTTGACCTAGTCAGAGGTGCATTGTTACGTAATCAGCACATAGCAAAAAGCTAATATTAAATTCTTTTTTAAAAATCAGAAAAAGCGCCAATGAAACAGTTCAATTGATGCAACAAGTTTATGGGGATAATTGAAAACACAAACACTACAGCAAAAATGATTGATTTACCATAGACTGTTTAAAATGTCTTGTTCTGTTTAAGGAATTGACTTGTATCAACCAATGAACATCTCTGTTTAGAGAAATGTAATTTATTTACACTCTTTGATTCTTGTTTATTGATTCTTATCGTCTCACAGTTCTTAGGTTGATTTATTTACAGAGTCCAGAAATGTGTTACTTAAATGTAACAAGTTATAAACATCAATGTTAACTTTGGCATCAAAATGAAAATGTGTAAACACAAACAGTAATACTATAGAAATCAAATATGGTGATAAAATCTTACCAGCAGAATACTGCAACTCATTATGCAAGTATCAAATAAATTAATTAACAACCATTGCAAACGTTTGTTAAAAAAAAACACATTACAGTAACCACCACACAAAAAAAATGCAATCAGTTCTTCTGTCAAAAAACATTTAAAGCACATAAATAGCAAAGGTTTAAAGTTAAAAAATTTATAGAATAAAATATTCATTTTCAAGGTTAATAGAAATACAGGAAGCACTCAAGTGAAACAGTTCGACACACATAAAGGATACAGTAAAATTAACCCATATTGTTCTAGACATTTTGTATCAGAAAAAGTGTTCATAAAATTTCTAAAACTATCTGAGGAAAAAATGGGGAGAGAAGTCATAGTAACGGGAGTGGGAGAGAAGCTAAATGTACTTCAGCTTCATGCTAATAACAGATAAAACTCCATTAAAGACTAAATATTCTGCTAATGAAAGTGTACATACAGAATGATATCTAAAAAGCATTTTCTGCTAACAATATCCAAAACATGTATACAGCCAAACATCTGACAGACAGAAACTATTCCAAGCACAAAGTATGTATAATAAAATGCAAATACAGTGGTATCTCAGAATTCAAACATCTCAAAAATCAAACAGTTCAGTAAATTTTGTCTTGGAACTCAAATGCCACCTTGGAACTTAAAACACCTGGCACGTGAATAATCACATGACTGAGCTGACAAAGCTAGATCTTCGGCACCTTCACCATAAAAATGCAACATGACAATGTATATGTGACAAACAGCTGGACTAAATATAAATAACAAAATACACTGTAAAACTATCCCCTACAACATTTATCCCTATTATTGTTTAAATTTCAGATAACAATATCTTGTCTCCACATATCTGCCATACATCCTGTGTTTCTTAACTGTGCTGTATTTCTCACCACAGTGCTAAGCATGTTTATATCTATCAGACTTCCGGTTAAAATGGACGCTAGACAGCGGCGCCGTTCGGAACAGAGGCAAATTTTTTGCTTCTGCCGGACGGTGGCCGATGCATTTCTGCTCCATTTGTAGACTGGATATAGTTTCGTCGCCCAGCTTCTGAGTTGAATGCATGGCGTGACCCTGTGAGCTGCGGATTGCATTTGGAATGTTTTTTTCGACTGTGACCAACGTGGTGGTGTGAATTGTAGATTCAGAAAATGGCGCGATGCCTGTCGTTCAATGCTGGCAGGACCCGTATTAAAATTGATCACGCGGACAACTGCTGATCTGTTGACGACAAGTTCTGCTATCATCAATGATGAACTGCATTTGGACTGTTTGTGTTAGCACTTCGGATCGCTTTAATGCGAGTGTATGCTAGATATGCTGAGACAAGTCAATCTTTCCACAAGAGACTGTGATAGACATTCTGAGTGTTTTTCGCTGGCACAGGAGCGGAGCAAAGATGGGGCAACCCGTTTGCTATGAAGCTGAAACTAAGACTACCAGACCAGACTACCATATCTATCATATTTCAAGTTATTTGTTTGTACCTCTTTTTGTATCAAACCGATAAGGCAAAAGCTGCCAAAGGGTAACATTTCTGCCAGTATGCAACAAAATTCAGCCCAAATTATGACTCCATTATAAATCTCTTCTCTGTTAAAGAAATAATTATTGCAGTTAAACTGACCTACACCATAAAGACTAGCTGAACAAACAAGACAAAATATGTGTGTACTGTTGACAAAAAAAGCTGTGTACGTCTTTTTTAGCTGTTACTTTAATTGTAGCTGTAACCATTTAAGATGATTATTTCAAAGGTTGATTTGACTGTAACTTTTATCAGTTGCTACATTCCATACTATCATCCCTGGAACTGACCTCAAAATAATAAACTCAGTTATAGTTATGTTTTGCTTTCCATAAAAAAAACATAATGTTTCAGGCAAATGACAAACCATGGTGCATCTTGTTATTTCCGTCACCATTATAACAAGAAGGAGCCAGGAAAACATGAAACAGACAATATTGTAAAACTCTCCTGATAATAAGACAGATGTCTCAAAAGCAAAAAGGTTGAGCAAGGTAGCAAAAGGGATAAGGTGCTAGCAACCTGGAGAATACAAATGCAAACAGTTCATCAGCACAAAAAATTGAAATATTTACACATAACTCTAAAGTACAAATCACAGGCATCACCACAAATAGCCTATCCATGATTTTAAAATTTTAATTTGGGTGTTTGGTTTAGATCTGAAGTAACAATCTCTATTTCTATATCTGGCCAAACAGTTTTACTGAAACGTCACAATACAGAGATAAAACTAATGGAATATTAGTATCTTCCTCTCTCTATCTCAGCACATGGCAATAATTTGTCAATTATAATCAGCACTGGAACAGCTCATATTTAAGGGTTTCCTTTTAATATACCTTCCCCCCCCCCCCTCCCCACCTTGAATTTTTGTTTTTGTTGTTAACTGTTTAACAATGTGCTGAAAAAACATGAGCTCTCCCTCATACAGCCTAAAGTTTAGTGGTGATTCAAAGGTCACATTACTTTCTGATATTAGCTTGCTTTTCTATTTCCACCTCAATAATGACTTAATCTTTCTTCTTTTCTTCTTTCAATTTCATTGCATCGTTTCTGAGATCTTTGCTTTCATCCTCCTTAGCAGTTTCTTTGCTTGTTGCACGTCGCAATGCATCCCACATTCCACCCATAAAGATGGCACAGAACAGGTTTTCCAGTGGGACGAATGGATCATGAATTCCAAGAATAACGGAGGAGATCTTGAAGTACACGAAGAACAAAACCACACCAAAATAGATCAGTGGATGCGGTACTGCAATAAGGTTCAGCCGTTCACATAAGAAGATAATCGATGCCACCAGACTGGCTTTTGTTGCACTGCAGACAAATAGAAAAAGAATGTTAAAATACAGCAAGTCACATGCATAAGCAAAACTACCTGTGAAATGAAAATACTAGTCAAATTACTGGTACGTTACCGAGTTATCGTTCTAATACCATAACTAAGTAGAAAGTATCTATGATCATGATGAGATCAATCACGAAACACTAGTGTTTAACTTATCTGCCATAGGAAGCCACAAAACAAACACCTGTGGTTGGGTTCGCTTTCCCATAAATGTTAGAGAACTGATGTTCTTGCAGTGGCCAGTTCCTGTTTTCCAGTATGCAAAATTTGGCATCCTATCACTAAACATTGAGTCCCAGACAATTATTTTACACATGAATAGAAACGCTAGATGCAGAGTAGGTAGGTAATCTAGATGTCTGATTTGACATTACGGTGCATTCTGGGGGCAAAAATTGGTGCACGATGACGTATGAAGTTACTAAATCCTGCAATGTAGCAATAGTTATTATTAGTGTATGTACAGGAAGACTCTGTTTCCAAGCGCATCAACCATGAGCCAATGTAATGAGACTAAACGCATTGTTCAGTCTGTTGGTAAAATTAAAAACTTGCTTGTCCAGGGATAGTGATGATAAAAGTGTGGTAGATACTTTAGAAGGCACACAGATCGAACATCAGATGTGGAAAGTAATAATGAACCAGTTTTATCACCTGAGCATTGCATGCAGCTGATAGTGGTTTGTGTTCAACACCAGTTGATAGCGGTGTGCCATCAACATCGGTGAAATTTTCAGATGGCGTTTGATGGAAGAAATAGTTTGTCTAGTGCTGATTTGCAATAGAATTCCACCCCTGGCGTTCGTGATAAACCAGAAACTTTTTTCCAGTCACACTAAAGTAGACTTTTTGTCACTTTTGTCACTCTTGATGCCTGGGCTCGGCTTGTATCGATGACAAATCTTCACATAGTGCAAGTAAAAAAAATATCACTCAATTACTATAATACATCAAAGTGGCTAGGCTTAACTTTCAAGGAAATAAAAGCGTTTTTAAGCATTCAATCGAGTATGGAATGCAGTGTGGTCAAAAGAAGATTGGAACCATCATACTGTTAAAGAATTGTTTTTATTTTTGATACACTTGGATTCATTCATTCATTCAGTAGCATGTCCCTCGCGGAACCTCGCTGCCATAACAACCCTCCGGAAAACCTTCCTATCCTGAGCAAGATGTCCTGCGTCTGATACACCCATCTGGAGATCATCTGCCACATCCTGCACCCATCTTCTCCTTGGCCTTCCTCTTCCTCTCTTCCCAGGCATATACCCCTCCATTATTGTTCTCTCTAGACTTCCATGACGTTTCAAGTGACCAAAATATTTCAATTTTCTTTGTTTTATTGTCTTTACTAGCCAACCCTCTTCAATATTCAGCTCTTGAAGTATGGATGCATTTGTTCTTTTCTTTACCCAAGATATTCTTAAAACCTGTCTGTAACATTTATATTCAAATGCATTTATGCGCTGTTCCGCTTGTTTAGTAAGTGTCCAGGTCTCACAGGCGTATGTTGCAATGGGAAAGATACATGCTCTTAAAAATCTGACCTTTGTAATTCTATCTGTACATTCCATAATTTATTCAGTTGTTTTAGTCTTTGAAGAGCAATTGATAGTCGCCGTTTAATTTCTTTCATTGTGTCACCATTGTTGGTAACCAGTGACCCAAGATATTCGAAATTTTCCACCACTTCCAATCTTTCCTCATTAACATATATTTCCTTCTCCATGGCAGTTTTGTTTGTATGCATTATCTTTGTTTTTGCTATGTTAAGAAATAAGTTATGATTTTCACTATTTCTTTGGAGTGAGGTTAATACGTTTTCTAAACCATTTTGTGATGTTGATAGTAATACTGTATCATCAGCATAACGAATTTCTGGTATTTCATGACCACCGATGTTTAGGGCATCATATTGTTCCTTGTTTATATCATCTCTTACATTTCTCATACACTTGGATACCACACTGTATTTACACGTGATCTTTTTCTTGCCATATGGCCATCTTTACTTCCCAGGACCTGACTTGGTGCCCATTGTAGGCTGGGTCAACAACGGAGTCAAGATCATTTTCGATAAATCCCAACATTATGCTGATTACAACCTTTGAGCCAGCAGGTGAGGATCAAGTCACTACAATCTCACATTCACGCACACAGACGTGAAGGCATGCTCACACTGCCATCTTTGTGCTGTAAGCTATATTATTTACATAATGTTATTACTGCCTCTGCAAATGGGGTTTCGTGAATTCGTTAATGGAAATCAATTAAAATGTCTTCAAACTGATGCAAAAACTAAAATTTCTGAGATGTTACGGGTTTTTGCATCTTTTTTTTTTGTTTTGTTTTAACCTTCCGGGGCTAAAGTGTTAAATATTGTGTCCCTCTAAAGTCCCCATCTGTTAGCTATTCCCTGAACTCAGTGATCTTGCACATTTATCTGTTTTCTGTATACCCTTTTTTTTCCCCTACTTTCCCTGGATTTTTCCATTAGACAGTAGCCATGTCATTCTGTCACCAAATCATGGCACCCTAAACTTGTGTATACCTTTTCAACAGCTGTACATTTTCTTTTGTCTTTATAAAATTGTTGAGTGAATTTGTTCGCGTCTAGCTGAATCTAGGCATCCTATAATAACTTCACATTTAAAAGCTTTCATGTTTGTTTCATTTATTTTCCCGACTGGAGTCCAAATTGAGGTAGTTAGGTGCTCCAGGCTTGATGTGTGTAGTTAGTATCCTCACCTAATGCTTCTTTGATTCCAGAATCATAAATCTTATTTTAAATTCACATTTTTTGTAATGAACTGTACTCTAAAAGGAAAGTAATTATTAATATGTAAATTAAATTTGAAAGAAAACATATTACAATAATTGTGTGTCATGAAATATCAGTAAATTCATATGCGAGTGCTGATATGGTCTTATGGTATCTAAATCGTGCAGATGAAAGACCAAACTAAGGTGCATAAGTGATAACCGTATATTAGAATGAATTTTAGTGTTTTGATGAGTTCGTTCTTGGATATCTTACTGATATACTCATTCTGTAAGGAAAAAATAACTATGGCTGAACCAAATATTCCAAGAAAAAAAACTAGGCATGACAGACTGGTTCCAAGTTTCATCTGGCATACTCTTGTTTATTATCTATATGGATAATATAGTTGAAGATAAAATCCCCAGCAGCTGGATATAAATGGCCTGATATTTGCTGACAACCAAGCTTTATGGTACAAAGATAAGGATAACCTCCAATACCACATTGATATGAAAATAAACGACAACATTTGAGATAAGATGTATAAAAAATGTAGCAGGGAAAAAAAACAAGAGACACAGTCAGCAATGAGGAACTAAGAAGAATGGTAGGGACAGTAGCGGTAAATGATTTCACAGAACACCAAAGAATCAAATGCTTTGGTCCTCTTGTCAGAATACTACAGGGTACTATATGAGAACTGCAGGGCAAGAGGCAGACCAAGAAAGAGTCTGGTGGAGAAAGTAAAACAGACTACAGAAATGCAATATGACATCAACACAAGCTACTCTACTAGCAGAAGACAGGAAACTTCACCTTACTCCAACACTCTGCGATGCCTTTTGGCATAAGCAGAACAAAAGATCAGAGAAATATTTAAAAAAAAGTGTAGCGAATACATTTAAAAAAAAAATTGTTGTAGTGACCAGATATATTTTTTTAACGGATTTTTTCCTTCGGGTTCATGATCCATAAAAAAAAAAATGTAGAATTCACAGGGCAAACATGTCAAGGACATTTATGGGGATCTGGACCAAACCTGAAATGTCAGTTTTACAGCATCTCATGGTGAAGGGTTATTGTAAAAAAGTAATGAAACTAAGAGATCCTTACAAAGTTGGCTGCAGAATTTCATTACTGCCTGGTATCCAAACTCCTCTAATAAGCCTGTCAATATTTTTCATCAGCCCACTTCCAGCGCCTGAAGTAAAGACGACAATTGTTGAATGTAAGTTATATTGTAATAATTGAAATTTCTAAAATGTGCCTAAATTGTGGGCAGATTTTAGTGCCTGCTCTGTACACTCCAGTAACACTGACTGTTTTAAAACACAGCAGCCAGCAATGGTGCATAATAAGCTCAGTTTCTGTCAGACATTTTCATTTGTGTTCAACAGTACACTGTTTTAAACAAAAACATAAACCCTGGTTGCTAAACCGGATTCAGCGGAGACCGGGTGGTGTCCGGGTTCAATCCCGGTTGTAGGCAGGAAAGCCTCAGTTTCTGTCAGACATTGACGGTATTTGTGGAATCAGCCGAAAGGTCATCCATGACCGAGCCTAGGGTACACAACTCATGCTCCTGGATTTAAACAAACAAAAACATACAGGTTCCATAAACTACAATTAACATTTGTCTAGCTGTCACAATGAAATTAAATCAAACAATTATGAAGTAGGGACACATTACTTTGCCCACGACTCAAAATTCAATATTCAAAACAGCAAGACTTTGGTACAAAGTAAAATAAAGTTAGTCCTTTACAGGATATGGTAAACCAAACCCAGCTGTTGTGGTTTTACTGGGAATACTTAATATTTGGATATGAATGACTCAAACCAAACCAAGGAGAAATTCTTAGCAGCCCACTTTTACACAAGCATCCTATAAAATGGTTTATTTACCGTCTGCTTTTACCAGTGAATATAATTTGATGCCATAAAGTGTACCAGTAGTTCACAATATTTTGACAGTCACTGCTTGGTTACAAGTCACAACATACTCATGTAATTGTATGAGTAATACCCACCACACAGGTTGTTTTATTAATTACAAATCGGCCATAACTGTTAGCTCTATGTCTCTTCCACCATAAATAACTGGCAAAGAGACTTGAATGGAGTACCTTTGGATTTCAATCGGTTGGCCCTAATCAGCTAAACTTTTCTTTTTTAATAATTTGGGCCGGGTTAGCACAGTCAATATGAGACTCGCTGTCAAATCCAGCAGCGGCTCGTTGCAGCCCACAGCCAGTGTTCAAAATCGGGCGGTTCCCAGGGTTCACCCAGCCTCTAGGTAATGGGTACCAGAGTTCATGCTCTGGGGTAAATGGAGGAACATCGCTGTAGCTATGGAGTTATGTGCGGAAGGTGACACAGGCCTAAAGTTTCTTATCAGCTGTCCGTACTGGTGGCAGAGCACTTATGGTTTATAACCGTGTACAATGACGCTGGTTCACATCTCCTGATTTTACCTTTTACCTTTACTAAATACCCACAACAGACATGAAAGGAAAGAAACTACCTTTATAAACTTTTTTCACTATTAAAAATGTTTTGATGTAAATAGGAAAAGGGAGGGGAAAAAGGGGGGGGGGGGGGGGGTTGGGCTGCAGTCAAGCTGACGAAAAAAGTGCAACATAACATAAAATGTGACCAGAAAGCTCAACAGAGGTAAGGGCAAAGGCGCCAAAATACAAATTAACGTTTAGACCAAAGTCTTTATCAAGAGAGAACCCATTATTATCTATATAAAAAAAATCATGCAGATATTCGTAAAAATGCTCTTAAACCCGTCTCCTTCCATTTTAACAGTCCTGACCAAAAAGGCGAAAGCAATATTTCAGCTACTCTATTAAATCTTGCTCCGGTAATCAAATCAGCTGATACTCCTTAGAAAATTCTTTCGTTCAGTTTTGACATTCTCAGTCCTGGAGAAATCAATATTCAACATAAGTTTATTTGATCTGATTAATTATCTATCCATATAAATTGTTCATATTTCTCCCACTCTTATTTTCATATGCCTTCTTACCTCTTTTGTTTCGTAATATAACACTTCAGATCCATATTTCTTGGTTTCATGTTGACCTTGGTTATTATAGAAGCTCTGTTGTCTTGTCCATTGAGTTTTCCAGTCAAAGTCTGTGTTGTATTTAGTACTCCGGTTGTATTTGCATCTTTTCAACCCCCTCTCTGTTGAGCTTTCTAGTCACATCTTGTGTTATTTAGGACTTACTAAAAATGTGTTCCTAGGCGATTAATTTGAATGGTAAGATATTAGATCTACATGTCCTTGCCATCAATATGTAATATACTGGCTTGGTACTCATTACCAAAGCATCAGTAACAACCATACATAATTACTGTCTGTAATAGAAGAAACAAACACACAGCAATACAAACATACCTTTGATGGTACCAACTGCAACAATGATCAAATAAGCACTTGGATACAGTTTTGCAGCCACCAACACTCCATGATAGACCTTATGAGCTCGCTGTGTTTCTTTCAATACACAAATGGCCAGTTTGAAAGGCAGAAATTTGCATATTTTGTAGACCAAATCAAAGGGGGAGAAGTTAATTAAATACCTGAAGAGTACAAATTTATGTATGCCAGTTACACATCAAGTCTATTATTGTTTTCACTATACTGTAGCATTTTTCCTAAACTGAAGAATTCATTGAAAAAAAAAAATTGTCTGCTTCTCAGCATCAAGGCCTGCCTCCCCTCACCAACTCTCTTTCTCTCTCTCTGTACATGCACTGCAGGTGTTTGTGTCTCTCTCATGTGGCATTAATTTGTGCATTTACATTGCTCATTAAAAAAGGCAGTGTTTCCTTAACACCTTTGAATCATTTATATCAGAATCCTAGAGATGCATCTTGGATTTCTGTTTTCATACATTTGCATTTAATAGGGGACACATTTTGGCTTGTATATTTTGTTTGTTATAATAACAAAAGAAGGCGATTTTTTTTTTCAACTTAAAAGGGGGTAGTGGACCAAACCAGTTTGGGAAACACTTATAAATGCTACTTTAGTAGCGCTTTGAGTCCTAGCAGTTGTAACTACAACAATTTTAATCCCAAAGTCTATGTGTAGATAACAGTACAAATCGTTTAGTCTTCATAAATTAAAATAGTACATTTATATGACAGAGTGAGTTAAAATAACATCCCGGGCACAACAGATTAATGCAACAGTTGAATGGGACAATAGACATTTGCAAATACACCATGCTCTGGGTAATTATTAAACATGTAGTCAGCTAGCTGTCTAGCACCAAAGAGCTGACTGTTGTTTTCAACTCACCAAGTGGGTATACATGCATCCACAACTTTCTATGGCTGGTATCTAGCTGGTATGATGAGCACCATGCTTGGGACTTGTACTATGGTGGTGCTTGTTGGAGTCTATTCCATGTGGCTGAAGAATTCTTCAGTAGTTACAGGGAGTTTTGGTCTTACATTTTCCCAGATGATGGCACTGCTGACCACCCCTGTCCAGTATGCTTGCCTCATGATAAGAATTGCTTCTTTGTCATTATTATCATCATCATCAATCAGCAGGTCCTTTACATGCCTGAAAGTCTCTCTTTCTCCAGCCCTGTGTGCTTTCATAGCTAATGCATCTTCAATGCTCTGCATCCACTTTCATGGAGGTCTGTCTCTGCCTCATTTTCCAGAAACGGTACCCACCATCACTGCTCTCTCTCTCTCTCTCTCTCTCTCTCTGGAGGCCACTGTGATGTCCAACATGACCAAAATAACTCAGCTTGCAGGACAGGATGCAATTTATGAGCCTGCTCTTCTTGATGCTCAGACCATCTAAATGTAGTGATAATTACCACTCTCAGTGTGTTATTCTCGTTTATCACTGTCTCCACAGCAACAGACTCATCAACACTTCTATCTCTTTCCAGTGTGGGAACCAACTTGATTGTAAACGCCTGTGCTCTAGAACTGGGGGTATTCTGCATTTTTGTTTTTGTTTAAATGCTCATCGAGTATTGTCTACAAAGTGAATCACTTCAGCAGAATGCAATAACCACTTTTCCTTTATCACTTTTCAGAAGAAAGAAGTATAAGTTGCCCCCTTTGTTGAAAATTACTGTTTGTGTCCCAATATTTAATTTAATATAAAATTCTTTAACAAATTCAAATTTTGAACAGTGTTTTAATTTCTTTTTTCCTTCTTTCATTTTTGTCCAAAATAACAAACTCTAATTAGATTGTGAGCTGTCCTTGCCAGCATCATTTTTAGTCTCACTTTTTTTTTTAATGAACTGAACGATGAGTATTATTATAACAGTTCTTCAGATATTTGAATTTCTCACACACTCGAAGTCATCCTACTTCAACTAGAGCATGAGAACAGCGTCAGTACCCCAGGATTGGGTACACAGCTAACTGATTCGCCCATCCAAAACCAGGCAAAGATCATTCCAGACTCAGCGGTTTCAGGATTATCTAGCTACAAAATATTTTTGGCAAGCGGCTAGAGAAGATTATTGCTGTTTAACTACACAAGTTTTTGGAATGGGAACAGCTGCTGCCAAAAGGTTTGGATAGTTACCAGCCACAGAAAGATACATGGTAGACCATGGTATGCAGCTACTTTTACTTTTGATGTGTACTGATGGTTTCAGAACAGACAGGAGACAGATGTGGCAGCACTTGATCTTGAATATGCCTACAATACAGTCATAATTTCTGCACTCATGTAGAAGGTTTTTTTTTCCTGGCTAATGAACTGGATAGCAGCTGTCCTGCATTCATGCATGCTTGCCCTTCACCTGGGCACATGAACCTCAGAACCATGTAATATAGCCCAGGGACTACCCCAGGGTTCTGCAATTTCAGCGGTGCTCTTTAATGTGTAAACAAGCAAGACTGCAGAACTTGAAGTACCAGATGTTGGAAGGATATTTACATTTGCTGATGATGTTTTTGTATAGGGGGAAGAAAATGACAAACAATGGATAGCCTCAGAGCTGCGGGCAACTGCAGACAAAGTGACTGACTGGTGTGCAGAAATAGGTGCCGTCATCAACTCAGAAAATGCGGCAGTTTTGTGGTGCTCTCTGGACAACAGAATTGTAAAAGCTACTAATGTTCCAAGCCTCCCAATTAATAACAGTAACATCAAAAGAGAAAGCAAACAGAGGTACCTGGGAATCCCGTTCGTTAGAAGCTTGTCCTATAGGGAACACATGGATGCAGTTGCGGTGAAATGCCAAAAAGGACTCAATACTCTCAAGATTATGGCAGCAATGAACATGGAAAACAAAGAATGTTGTTCACAATGTTCCAGCATGTGATCCTGTCAGTGATAGATTATGGTCTTGGAATGCTTACCATATCAACGTCGGCTGATAAAACTTGAACGCATACAGAATGAAGCCATGCTGGTAATTATGGGATGTACAAGAGATACCCTGGTAGTATGTATGCGATACATGCTTGCACTGCTCCTGTTGCAAATAGGCTCAAAGTTATGCAGACAAAGTTATATCTCTGAGTTGTTGCAGACAAAAAGCACCTCTTGCATGAAGACCTGGGTAGAGTTAGGGGTCACAGACTGAAAAGAAGAAGGTGGTGGATGGCGCAGGCTGAAAACACAATTGGACATGTGTGCAGGCTTGATAAATTTGAGCGAGGAGAGGAGCGGGTCAAGGTGTCTGACTAGGTTTCAGACTTGTGTAGGGTTCTAATCACTTTAGGTCGTGAGTGCAGAGACTGGCTAACTGGTGCTGCAGAATGAGTTCAACAAATGATTCATTGACAATTTCCGCCCAGGTGATGTGATTATCTATACAGATGGCTCTGTGTTGGGGGGCAGACGAAGTGCACGAGGGTTCATAGCAGAGTCAAATGGATGTTGCTTAGTGCAGCAAAGCCTTGCATATGATATCACAACATTTAGTTTGAGAATGGAGGTGGAAGCAGTCACTGCTGCCTTGGGAATCAGCTGTACACACATGCTGTGATTGTAACTGACCCACAAAGCATGTTGAGAAAGGGGAAGACAGGCATGCTTCGTGCACAGTGAGAGGCATCACTTCAGATGTCCCGGGTAGTTAGCATCTTTTGGATATTTTCTCCAGTATGTCGGTGTGTTGGGAAATGAGCAGGCAGATAGACGAGCTGGCTCTGCACCACTTGATGGTGAATTGATGTATGGGAAGCTAGATTTTGTGAGTGCCCTTTGGAAACAGTGAACAGTGCAGATGGGCAGGCAGATCATTACGGTCTGAGGAAAATGGTGCTGTGAGGAGTTATTAGAGGATATGGCAGACACTTAACACTCAGGGGAAGGATGAGACGGATATACAATCAGATGGCTACTGTTGCCATTGGAATAGGAACTCTTTGCTTGCTGCTGAAAATTTGGGACGGAACACTTATGGGAGTGTCCTGAGTGCTGTGATGTCGATTCTTAATTCAACATTCAAATTCATCCTGACTATAATAGATAGATGTTTTTTTTGTTGCTGTTTCTGAGCCATATCCGAACTGTTTAGAAATGGTTATGAGCAAAACACAATGTAACAGGAAATAATATAAAATAGTGCAACAGGGAAGGCTCACTGCAGTTGGAAATGCTCACTGTAATAGAAAGCATACTTGGTAACTAAAGAAAAACATTTGAGCTTCTGAACTGAGATGCTCTGATGATTCTCTAAAAAATGTGAACCCAAAAGCAGCAATTGTGCAAAATATACACTCAAGAAACACGAAAAAATGATCCCAATGGATACTGTATGCCTCTAGTTTTTTGCAGCAGAAAGAAATAAGGAATGGATTTAATGACAACCACTTTGCGAGCAGTGGCCCATGGCCAATAGCTTTCTAAAACATAAAAAGTAACTTATCTCTCAACTTATCTGCCAAGCACACCCGGAAAGAATTCTCTTACTGGTGAGTGAAATATGGAATCCATCTTTGGGGTCAGCATTATGCTTTAATTTTCTCCAGCACATGAAAACAATAGTTTTCTTATTATTATTAAGTATACTATTTAAAGTACTTATTTTAAAATGAATTATTTTTGTTCTCTAAACGGTGTATTTAAATTTATATACTCCATTTTAATTTACTTGCCAGCCTAGAATGTGCAAACGAAACAGGTCTGGGTTCTGTCACTTGAAAGAAAAGCAGACCTAGACCTGTAAATTAACCACTTTTTTATTTACATTTTAAAGAAGTTTATTGAAGGACAGGGCCAAGTTCCTCAAATAGCAATATGCACACACGCTGACCATTTTAGTTATCCTGTCACCTCTGCAGTATTCAACTCTCTGTCTTTCTAATTATATATATATATATTAAGGCTGTACCGAATAGTGATTTTCACTATTCTGCCGAGTACGAATAGTGAATCGTCATCATCAGGTGCCTTGCGACTGGCGTGGGCGATTATGCCTCACCACAATCTGCGATCTCCTGCAGCATGTATTTGTATGCTGACACACCTCCATGCCATGCAACAAGACTGTCAAGAATCTTCTCTCGTTGTCCTATTCTATCCCTTCTTCCACAGGTCTTTCAAGTGGTCACCACATGTTCTATTTTCCCTCTTCTCATAACATGGCCGAAAAACGATGACTGTCTCCTTCTGATGTCTGTAATTAGTTGTCTTCAGGCTCCCGCCTTTTCAAAACCTCTTGGTTGCTTTTTGTGTGTGTGTGTGGCTGTCCAGGGTATTTTAAGCATTGTTCTGTAAAACCACATCTCTGAGGCCTCAAGAAATTGTTTGGCTTCACTACTGACTGTCCAGGACTCACAGCCATACTGAATGTATGTAGCAAGCAAGAATTCTTTTTCTAACCTTCAATTTCAAAGATATATTGCATATTATGTTCTTCATTTTCTAAAATGCAGTTTTTGCCTGTCCTCTTTTTGACAGTGGCGAGGAAAGACAATTTAAATTTTAACTTTTAAGTATCTTCATGCCTTCTTTAATAATATCACAATTTATAGCCGACTTTTCTTGATTTTCGCGGCAGAACCTCTAGCATACGCACCCAGTTTGAGAACCTCGGCTGTAATGCCTCGATCGAGTCAGCAGGCAAAGACCTTGCCAGCTGCAGTACCACGCAACCAGGTTGCAGTTTCCCCCGCTACGACAGACTTAGGCAACAGCCACTATTGTGTTAATGAGAGAGTTATTTCAGTCCATCGCCGTGTATGCAGAAAAGGGTGTAAGGTAACCACAAATCTTATTCCGCCTGACTGCAAGTATTCGACCGAATACCGAATAGTTATTAGGTCCACTATTCAGCACTAATATATATATATATATATATATATATATATATATATATATATATATATATATATATATATATATATATATATATATATATATATATATATATATATATATATATATATATATATATATATATATATATATATATATATATATATATATATATATATATATATATATATATATATATATATATATATATATATATATATATATATATATGGGTACCAGACAATTTTCAGTCATTTGGCAACAAAGACGTGGAAGGGAACTGGCTACCTCACCTCAATTGGCAGAGAATATGTCAGGGCATAACACTTCACATCCCAATGGGAGTAAATACAATGTATGTGACTACCTTCAATTTAGCATGTTATCATCCTGGCTAAGTGCTTTCTTCACATTTAAGGTTGACTATAAATGGTGTCTGTCCCCATTTTCATGGTGCATTCATGTTGATTTCTTTCAGTCAGATCTAATGTCCACACACTTTTAACACTTTCATACTCATTTACATTTTCCTCCACCATGTTCTTAAAATGGGCAGCTGTGTCCTTCTACATTAGGGCTGACAAACTTTAATTGTCTGATCTTGATCTCATTCAGAATTGTTTTCTTCAATCTGTTTTTGTAATGCTTCTACAATTATTTCTAGTCCTGCCATTTTTTAAAATATGAAACAAAATTGAAAACTGCAATTTCACCCTGGCATTTATTACTCACTGCACCAGATAATAATGTAAACTTGTTCAAATTTCTTTCCATTCACAGTAATTTCAAAACTGGTTTGTTGACAATTATGGTATTCTGTGTTTTGATATTTGTTAACAAATTTTTATTCTGATGTCTTAGTTTGGGTATTTATTTTACTAATTCTTGAACACCCAGCTCCGTTTCAGCCTACACAATTGTATCTTATATTTCTCCGCATTCACCGGCTGTAAACTCCGGTGGAAAGTTCTAGTTGATCCACCACTTCTGGACTGCAGTCCTGTTTCAGAACCTGAGTGTTGTGTGTGCATCCGTTTGACAGATCTGACTCATTTGTGTGCAGACTGTTAATTCCTTGTGCCTCAGGCAGATGCACTCCGACTTAAAAGGAAGAACATAATTAGTCTACTCTTACGACATGCTTTTGGGTAGGCGATATCTAATATGTAACGAATGTTGTTTATTTTTTCTTCCAAAGCTTTCTTTATCTACATATAAACAAACAATTTTAAAAAGATATAGATTTTCGAATCTCAATGCCGCCTTTGTTCCCAGCATGTATTAATTTTTCTACTTCTGACTTGAGACCACAAGAGCCTTCATTATTTCTAAATGTTGGTTTACTGCCTCTTCCTAAACAATTCTTTTATTTATTGTGTCCATGTTTTTGTAATACCATTCCCATCAAGTAGAATATTTATTTCCTTACCTCTGATACATCCTCCTCTCCCCAACAGACTCTTGTGGTTATATTTCTTCATCTCTTCCTGCTGTTTGCAAGTCTTTAAAGCATATTTATGTACTATCAATTCATTGTTGTTTTGACTGCATGGACACAGGTGTCCTTTATCTAGTGATATATATCCAGGAGTATTTTTCTGTTCTCATCTGCCCTGAGCTTAACATTTCTTCTGTCTGTCATCTAGGTTCTATTCTTAGTTGCTTTCTCTGGAGCAGGGCTATTCAACTGGCGGCCTGTGAGCCAAATGCAGAGACTTAGCATACAGCCCGCGGACAACCTGCCAACTGTATTGTATTGATGATCTTTCTGTGCTGATGACTTATCCTCTATCCCATGATGATCCCCATTCTCCAGAATTGTGGCCCCTGCATAAACTTAGTTGAATGATGCTGCTCTAGAGCCTGACTGACTGAGGAATCCACCCCCCGAAAGAAAAATGCACTGGGAGTGAGGTTCGTGTTCAGTTTCTGTCTCTCCTAATACAAAAATTATTTTCTCCCTTGGAGAACTGCTGGACCCCCCCCCCCTAGCAAAGTCATTAAGTAATTCCTACATGGTGTCCCTACACATAGAAAATCTATTATAAAAAAACCTGATTCAAACATTCATAATGTAAAATGACCTACTCTTAAAATGAAGGTTTTAAGAATTTCTTTATCACAAAATGTAGCAGTACAGAATAGTAAACTACTTTTTGTAGTCAATTAAATTTTACGGGTGACTTTTCCTTCATATTTTCTTTTCTGTCAGTCTGTTATGGGTAAGCTAATAACTAGGTTTTGAATGAAAGTATTCTAACTGTAATTAGAGCTGTACTATTATAACAAGATTCGGCCGCGAATAGTGTATAGTGCATGCAGTCAAATGTACGCGCAGTAGTATGCAGAACAGCATCCTTCAGTCAGCTGGGGTAGTTGAATGAAAGTAATTCTAAGTATTATATTATAACAAGATTTATGCTGCAAGCAGCCGCGTGTAATGCAGAAGCCGCACTATTCGTATTCGGCCCGACCGCAAGTATTAATACTTATTAGGTCCACTATTCGGCCCCGAAACGAATGCTCGATACAACTCTGGTAATAACATTAAAAAAAGAATATTCAATTCTGTCTGATGTACAACATCAACTTACCAAACAGCTGTAGCAGTAATGATGCTCTGGTGATCCTTGAAAGGAGTAATCACTGGTTCCCCAAGCAGAAAATTTGCTAAAATACTGCCTGCAAAACATATCAGCATTGAGGACAGCCAGCTAGATAATGGATGCTTCCGAGCAAAGGGTTGGACTGGACCACTAGAGCCTGCTGTTAAAATGTATAATAAAATACACCAAAATTAATATATTTCTGCAGGAATCATTAATAACGGAATAGTGGTGATTTTCGGTCAGAGACTCAAGAGAAAATTAAAGTGCTTCACAGAAAGGGATATTCTGCACCTCAGACATCAGCAGATGTTGTGCTGGCTTCAGCTCCTTAGGTAAAACTCCTGATATGAGTTCAAATCATACATTACAGATAATTCTCATCCAAGGCAAAGGGCAATACATTACCAAAGAATACTAGCTGAAGGTTATCAGTCACCCTTTCCGATAAGGTGCAGTGCAAATAACCAGACCAGATGGCAATGAGAACGTGGCAGCTTCATCCTGATAATGCAACCATTCATTCACTGCATTTGATTCAGACTGCCTCAGGGAAACACATATTTCTTTGAGACATCAGGCTCCATTTTCACCTGACATGGCCTCTTGTGATTTTATTATGGGTTTTTGGCTGGATAGTGGGTTGCTCCCCCCCCCCCCCCCCCCCCCAAGTTTATTGCAGAAAGTAGCTAGTTTTAAGCTGTGAGATGACAGTATGCTTTAATCCTCAAGAAAGTTGATATGTTTAAGTACTTGCGTACCCTGATAACATTAGATGGAAGATGTATTTAAAACAGTTAAATGCAGAATAGTTCAAGCAAAGGCAGCATTTTTTTTTAAAATGAAGAATATTGTGTGCAATCTTTCACTGTCAATTGAGATGAGAAAGAGAATTCTTAAAAGCTATATAAATCATATATTGATATACAAAAGTGAATCATGGACAGTTGATAGATTAGTGAACAATTACTTGGAAGCTGCAGAGATGTGGTTATATAGACGAATAATAATAATCCCCTAGATATAAAAAGAGTAATAAAGATGTCTTGAAAGAAACTGTCTCACAAAGAGAACTGACTGCCCACATCAGGAGACAATCTACATTCTTTTGTCAAGTCATGAGAAGGAGAAAACTGGAGTATACTGTGACAGTAGGAAAGCTGGATGAGAAAAGAGGCAGAGGGAGACCGAGAGAAAAGATTATGGAGTCTGACATCATGGCATGGAAGATCATCTGTATCAGTTGATTGAAAGTACACAAGATAGAAGGTTGTGGACAGACATGACGTTTGTTGTCTGACAAGAGTTTCAAACTTTCCGTTGAGTAACTGCATTTTTTCCTGGTCATATGCTGGATTCTCAACATCTTAAATAAGGTGTTAGGACTGTGTACTATCACCTGATCTTATTCAATGTGTGAAGTGAAAAATAATCAATGAGACCCATACAAGATATCAACTAGTTGGCACAGTGCAAACATCCTATCATATGCTGATGGCAGAGTTTTGATACTGAAATATAAAGTGCAGTTTCAAGAAATGATCGACATAACTGTAACAAAAGTCATGAAAAAGGTCTTTGTGTGAACACAGGAAAAACTGGTAACTGTAACCATTGTGAAGAAAATATGTCAGCAAGAATGCAAATACCAGAGTAAATGTCACTAGTTTGAAGCAAGCCAATGTTTTCAAGTAATCTGCTACTTTATAACAGTAGACGGAAGATGTGTTAATTATTTAAATAAAGAGTAGCTCAAGCAGACTAAAACATGATAAACATACCTTGAAAGAAATTATGCCACAAAGAAGTTAACTGCATCTGAAAAATATCAATCTATATTCTCTGGGTAAATCAACAGAAAGAAAGAAATGTGGAACAGAGGTAGGCTGAGATCGAAAGAAGATATAAGATGGCATCACAACATGGTGGAATACCTTTATCAAAAATCAGTGACAGAACATGACACAGTTAGGCTGTGGATAGACATAATGATTAACATCTGGCTGCATGACTCAAAGAAAAAAGTATTATTTATTTAAAACACTTTGCTGAAAATGTTTGTAATTAGTCATTTTGCAGATTTTAGGTTTAAATAAAGTAAAATAATATCTACACAGCCACAATTTGTAGGTTACATCCTGAATAAAACATATAAAGCTCAATGACATGTACCCAAATTCTGAGAATTTTCATCCTTACCTTATGTTATAGAGAAACATCTGCAACTGGAAGTAACCCAGTCTGTAGCATAGTATAATGGTTAGTGCTTTCATTGGCTGGCAGAAAGCTTTATGGGCTCACTCCTCAATACAGGAATTTAATTTTAACTACATGCTGCTCCGGGGTATGGAAACCCAGATATTGAAATAATATATTACTTCTCTTGGAAGACAAATACAGAGAAAGGGAACTGATTACATTATCCCAGTGACTACCAGCGTCGCACGTTATGTGATGCGGTGACGTATACTTTATGCTGCCCAGGTCGCACCCCTTGCGATTTTAGGTTTGGACGCTCGCCGTCATGTTAAAATTGCGATTTTTATGATCAATTAGTTTTAGCCTTTAGCTTATTTACTTCTGTATGGTTAATTAAGGAAAATAACGTTGTATTGTGTAAAGCAAATATTTAATGAATTTTCTCAGTTAGCTCCCATGTCGGTAAGACAATTTTCATTAGGGTGTCAAATTCAAAGGACCATCATGAGGGTCATATTTCTCCTAATGTTTCTGATGATGCATGTGATTATCTTGATTTTGCTTCAAAAATTGAATGTGAAGACACTACTGAACAGTTTGATAGCTATAACTATAATAAATTTAATAAAGTGCCATTCAAAACATCGTCGACTGTCAGATAAAGCAAAAATACAAAATATGGTAAATATTTGTTGAATATTTTTTGAAGATATGACATTTTTATTAGTCTATATTGTTATCAGATAAAAGATTTTTCAGTTGCCTTTTTTGCACCAATCTACATCCACATGATGATGATGATGCAAAACAGAATAAACAACTTTCTTTTCTTAAAATTTATTCTTCATTCAATTTGGTGCAAAAATACAAAATATTGTGAGATTATATCAAATAGTTGTGAAGCTATAGCATTTTTAGTACACACTAAAATACGTGGTATCTGGGAAAACGCAAGGGTTAATGGGTTTGGTAGTCAGTGGGTTAAACCATAAAATGGCATGACTCTGTACATAAATACATGTAAAGGTCCACAATATCATAGGTCTAATCATCTGGCAGTTTCTACACAAGAAAACTACTCTCTTGTATTATGAACAAATATTTTCTGAACTAAGATTAATCACGAAGTGTACACCCATGGGGGGGGGGGGGGGGGGGGGGGGGGGGTCAGATATTGCCAACCATCCATAATTTTGAATTGGGGTCTGTAATGATAAATAACACAGCAACAACAACAAAAATAAACAAGCACATACTGCAGCTTTCCGCTGGCTAGAGAACACGACATACACACACATCGTGATTGTAACTGATTCAGAAAGCATGCTGAGGAAGATCAGAACAGGTATGCTTCGTGCACAGTGGCATGCTTCTCTACAAAAACATGGGTGAGAAGTATTGTCTGGATTTTTTCACCGGGTTATGCCTGTGTGTTGGGAAATGAACACGCGGACAGACTGGCTAACTCTGCACAACTTGGTGGAATGCTGATACATGATAAAGCAGACGTGGTTAGTGCCTTGTGGGAGAGCGTGTACTGTTCGGGGGAGCAGATATATCACCACAGTCCGGTGAGACTGATGCAGCGGGGAGTGACGAGAGGTTCTGGCAGATGCTCGAGGCTCAGAGGAAAGACAAGACGGACGTTAAATCATAATGCTACTGGCACCATTAGTATCGGAACTCTTCGCTGGCTGCTGAAGATGGGGACGGAGCGCTTATGGGAACGCCCAGAGTGCTGTGATGTCGGTTCTTGAAGCAAATCAAATCAAATAAAACAAGCATATAATCCAATGTTATGTCATTTGAGTTCTTTTTACATTAAAAAAAAATTTCATTTAGTTTTTAACAATTTTTTTTTAAAGGGTATAAAGTTAACACAGCAGTTAAAATATGTAGGTCTGATATATCAAGAATCATGGGTCCAACTCTACACACACAAAAATATCAAAGCAAATCATAAAACTGCTTCTCGACATTACCACACACACAGTATTTAGTTTAAATAAATATACATATATAAAAACTAAGCAAATACGCAAGCAAAAGGATATAAAAGCTGATATCTGCTGATGTTCATGTTCTATTATATAAAGATAAGGATAACCTCCAGCACCACATAAACGACCTCAACACTTGTTGCAAGAAATATGAAAATAAATACTGGACACCCCTCCCCCTCCCTCCCAAATAATGAGAGTAAACAGAACACCAGTTCAACATATCATCACTGTTGGAGAGACATTAAAACAAGCTAAGGAATTTGAGGATAGAGGATTGGACAGAGTAATAGAAAACATGGCTATCTTCCGAATAACGTTCCCAAATTATCAAGGCTGAAAATATATCCTAACAGGGCCTCAGTCACATGTAAATTGCGAACTTCCGCCATCACAGAGAGTCACAGTCACCACTAAACAATTAGGAACACTGGTTAGGCACAATAGCGGCAAATGATTTCATAGAACTAGCAGACAACAACATCAAAGTTTGATTCAAACAATCAAATGGTTTGGTCATCTGATCATAATAATGGAACAAAACAAGCCAGCAGCTACAGCATAATACATGTTAACAGCAGGCTATAAAGCAAGAAGCTGACCCAAAAAAAAAAAAAAAAAGGAGACTGTTGGAAATATAGAAGAGACACTACAGAAATGAAAACAGGACATTAATAACAAGCTACGCATCTAGCAATGGACAGGAAACTCAATCTAGCTATCTATTCTCTGCGTCGTTGTTATGAGATATGCAGTAGCCAGTACTTCTAAATAGGACAAAAGAAAGTAACTCATTTTTACCGGGTTCATATTTCTTTTTGCAGCAACGCACCAGAAGGAAAGTGCAACTGCTGGCAAGATCAACATACCAAAACCGGTGATGTAACAGCTACCTGGGTAGCTACGCTCAACAGACAGGAATGTTACTTCACAAACACAAGCCGTGTCACTGAAACTCACCTTGCGCCTGTGCAGGTTGAACATCCTCTCGGACAGAGATGCACATTAGAATGTAATGTGCTATATCGAAATATGGGTACATTTTCAACTTGGTCACAACTGTGGCGACATCCATATAAGTTTGTGGATCCATTTTCTTGAAATAAACTCACTGCGCGACCAGTTCGAAACAAGGTGCAGGCTCCTACTAACCTTTGTGTGCTGGCTGTGTTGTGCCGTCAGCCGCCCGTGAAGTCAAGCAGACGAGCACAGCCCGGCAGTCAGGCAGGGGACGTGCGCTGTAGTACTGGCCAGGCACCGCTACAACTAGCGACCAAAGAGGCCTCAACTTTAGCGTCCATTCCAAAACTCTTCTTCACCGTCAAGTTAATGGCACTCGCGAGCGGTTATCAACTGTATTGGATGTAATTCGTTATGCTCTTGATATTTCTCAAATATTTCGTACACAATCAATAATGTAACATCCCATAGTGTCATACACGGCAACGAAAGCACTGGAACCCACATGAGCATAGAAGCAGAGGCAGGGCGAAAACAAACCGAGAAGGGAGCTAGAAAGTGAGTTTCAAAGATGTTGGGGGGGGGGGGGGGGGGGGGGGGGGGGGGTGCATGGGTCAGCTGTGTGCAATGGCACAGGATACGACAACTTGAGTTTGTATTACTACTACTGTACTACTACTACTATCACCACCACCATCACTATTGCTACCTGTTCGGAACGACAGTATTTTGAATGTTGAATTAAGAATTGACATCGCAGTACTCGGGACACTCCCATAAGCACTCCGTCCCCATCTTGAGCAGCAAGCGAAGAGATAAAATTCCGATGGTACCAGTAACTGTCTGATTACATATCCGCCTCGCCTTTCCCCTGAGTGTCGAGGGTCGACCAGATCCCCGTGTAACTCCTCGCGGTGCCATTCTCCTCAGACCATAATGATTCGGAATGCCAGATAATAATATTGAAGACTTTTTACTATATTGCAAGAAACATGATCTTCAAAGGATTTCCCTCCCCCTTTCCCTCAAAATAAAGATATGACCCGCTGCAATAAGGTATTGACAACAGAAACATGCTGGGGACAGACAGCTTTAGTTAAACACAGGAAAGAATTTAACAACAAATCACAAGAACAACGATATGCATATGAGGTGTTAACACATATTTAAGACATAATATTGATATCTTGTACCACTGTAAATATTCCACAAAGACTGATTAAACAATATAATTATCATAATTATTTGTAAAAAGTACACTTTCAATACATTAAACTTACAATTATAAGAAACCACATTTACGAGTTTTTAATTCCCGAATTTTTTAAAATCGCATTAAAGCACTTGAGTAGAACCTTGTAGTTTGTAATTCTTCCTCGTGAGATATAATATGTCTTTTCTTTGCCAACCGTGTCGGTCAGCGTTTTCACAGCTGCTGTACATCATTGTCATGTAGCAGATCCTTTGCAGAACGTCGCTCTCATCACGGTCTGCCTAATAGATACTCGGTATCTTGCCAGTTCTCCCGCTTCATGTACTTTCATACTCAAGGAGTCACTTATATCCTGTGCCCATCTTCGTGTTGGTCGGCCTCTGCCCCTCCTTCGTGGTACCATGCTTTCTGCTATAATTGTTTCCAATCCGTGGTGGCGCTTTATATGACCAAAATATTTCAGCTTCCGAGACAGGATGCTGTTTATTAGCAAATCTTCCTTGATGTTCAGATCTTTCAAGATGTCAGTATTTCTCCTCTCCTTTTCCTAAAACATTCTAATTTTGATCTTCTTGCTCGTGCTTAACCAAAGACTTTAAGGCTGTTTAATCTTTGCATTGCTATAGCTGCTATACAGTGTTGAAAAAACAAACACAATGTAAACGTTGCGACTATGGAGCCTTATCCAGAACATACATAAATCAACCAATACCACACAAATACACAAAATCACTGAAACAATCAGGTCGAAGTCTTGGAGTTGTGAAAACGACTAATCCTTATAAAGAAATGTGGTCGCAGAGCGCATTATGGTCGAGACTTGACAGGCTTCATCATAAAGCGAAATTATTTAAAGTATTCTTATATTAATAGATGTAATGTATGTTTTTCGTTTTGGTTGCTTGATGTGGCAGGGTCCCTGGCTGCAACGTTCATTTTATCGTCCATGACTATAATATTGACTATTGTGAAAGTAGTCCTGCTGCTCGTTTCGGATGATTTTCAAATAATCCTTATCAATACTCGCCGTAGGTTTCGTGTTTCCATCTAATCGTTACAAATCTTGTCATTTTTTTCTTCTGTGTCTTAAAAAAAATTATGCTTGATGGTTCTGTTGATCTTCTTCAGAAGACGATGTCACGTCATGCTTTTGAACTTCCACTGGTACGCGTAGACGCTCTTCTTTTTTTTTTTTTTGGTGTCCACCGCCGTAAACTTCGGCGTAATATTCAGATTGTTTTCCCTCTTCTGGACGTTGGTCTTGTTCCAGAACTTGAGTTTGCAAAAACATAATTCAACCATCTTGCCCAACCCACTGGTGTAGCAAGGTCAGATGGTTCATGGTGCAAAAGTCCTGTCACCCCGGTGGCATAGCAAGGTTAGGTGGTGTGAGGTGCATCCAACGATGAAATAAAAATTGATGAAAAAAAAAAAAGAGAAAATGTGCAAATAATAGGACTCTTGGGAAGACTCACCCAAACACGCCCACACAAGCTACCGCTCGCCCATTCTGTGCATAAATTCAAATGACATCTCCAACCGACAGGTCAACAGTCCGACCTTGAAAGTCCGGACGGTCACATCGATCTCCTCTTCTGCAGTTTGAACAGGGCAATGTCCCTCTTTAATGATTCGGCCTGGAAAATCCTTCCTTAAAGTTACCGGCTTCTTGCTGAGCGCAATAAACAATCACCGCCAACTCTAGATTTATAGCTAAAGATGGCCGTGTAAACAATGTACCAGCTTTCAGCTGATGTTTCTAGTGGAGTCCCGGAGTAGAGCGTCCTCAAGGATCCACTGAGACACGACCACACGTCTGTCTTCTTCAGACTGTATACATCGAATGCTTAGACAACTATTCCGTAACAACATTACGTATTGTTTTGACGTCCCATTTGCTCACTCAGTACTGGTGCGTCCTAGTGCATATCCGCACGCGACAGGTGGTACCTGGTTCAGAAAACTATATGTCAACCTCTACAAACACACACGCACGCACACACATGTTTTACGGTAAAACCCCAGATTTGTCTATTTTATCACTCCATTAGTGATAACACCCGATGCAACTCTCAACCCCCTTGCTACACAACCCTCAAACCCCTTGCTACACATCTGCCAACACCCCCGAGAGTTTGTGGCTGCTGGCCGTGCTATTATTATAATTTTTACTAACTGTACATGGCCACGCGTTGCAGTGGCTCAGTTTGGCTAAATGGAAAAGAAAGAAAATCATACAGCACACGTGTCTAATATGGTTAATTTTAAAATCAATGTCTGCGCAGATATAGAGATAGTCTAGTTTGCCGACTCTAGATACGCAGCATGTAACTGTGTTTTTAAATTAGTGGTTGTTTAAATTGTATTAATAAAACTATTTAAAAAAAAAAAAAAGGTTATTTGTTGATCACATGCTAAAGCCGTTTGTATTTTTTAAAGAGCTGAAAGTTAGGATCACTACTGTACTTCTAAACAACCAACTAATTCAAAAAAAAAAATTTGAATAGTTAAGGTAGCGTTATTAATATATATATATATATATATATATATAATTAGGAAATACACATTTTAGAATCATGTTTTGAGCTTTCTTGGTTAACATTTTCTGTCATCACCCCGCCTCCCCAACCCACCGACTACTTCTCTCTCCCTCTCCGAAGGATTTGAAATTGATCACATGACGATATTGTATTTAATTGACCTTGGCATCTGTGCCCAGTCAGACTAAAATGGGTATCATGAATTGTAATGAGAAGTAAATGGTCACTTTAGTATTTACCACATCATCCATCAAGTACCAGTACTACTACTACCACCACCACCATAACAACATCTAAAATAATGCCTCTACTGTCCGTTTACCAACTTTTTAGGGCGGTGTAGACAGGGGGTCGTGAGATTGAGTATTTAGGACCGCATGGCTAGTGATGTCGCCACGGAAATTCAGGTTAGGATGTTTACTTTTGCCCCCTGTAAAGAACCTACATGTCTAGGGGTTCGAATCTATGGATGCGCTGCAGGCTAAAACTGCTAACGAACACATCCAAGCCAAACACTGGTTGAGCACACACAATCTTTATTATCTAAGGATACAAACGTACGGAGGTCTGTGCCTCAGGAGGGATAGTGTCCTTTATTTTGAAACCAGGCCGCTTCTAACTTTAAAATCGCTAGACGCTCCTTTTCACGTTCATGAAATAAGCTCTGAGCTCCCACCACATTTCCATACAGCGCTATCTCAACTCGCGGTCTCCCGATGCCAAAGACTTTATCGCACACTCCGAGTGCGGGCTGGAGGTGCGTGGCAAATGCTAACGCCACAAACAATGCATGGTCTTGTTTCCCATAACGAAGTATAACTACTGGAAAAGTCTAAGGGGATCTATGACACGAATCCCCTTGACCGTATGGCGACTTTTTTCCCTGCTGTTACAACAACCACTGTCAACGTGTTGTTCCTCGATATCAGCTGTTACAACAACCACTGTCAACGTGTTGTTCCTCGATTTCAGCTGTTCCGCTTTAATAATTTTCGTTACTGTGGTTTCTCGCTAAATATTTTCCTTGATGAACTGCGCTTTTACAGTTTCACTATCCATAGTCTGACGGATGCATCTCTATGTGTCGTTTTTAACAAGGTCCTTAAAAATTATGAATCGACATCAGAACACTCGGGACACTCCCATCTTCAGCAGCAAACGAAGAGTTCCAATTCCGATGATGCCATAACTGATTGTATATTCGTCTCGCCCTTTCCTTCCCTAGAGTGTTAAGCGTCGGCCAGATCCTCGGTAACTCTCCTCTGCGCCATTCTCCTCAGACCGTAAAGATCTAGTTGTGCCTCTTCCTCTTCTCATTCTGTGTTCCTTAGGTCTACACAGGGCTTGATGCGGGAGATTCTTCTTGTCCGCAGCTCCTCT